AAACATTTCTGCCATTCAGTTAATCCAAACAAATGTACTTGCTGTTTCAATTCGACAACGGAATAAATCCCGATGATGATGAAAAGAAACACGAATATTAATTACAATCGAGGTAAGGAGGAAATGAATCTCATTTATAATGTGGCCAGTGTTTTGTAGCCAAAGAGTTATGTAATGTGTCGGAAGTCCGTTCGTCCAACATACATACCGAATGGAAACGAAATGAAAAAACTTTTCTCCCATTCATTCATTTTCGATATTTTATTGCTGTTCGCTTTGTTATATATGGAAGGCAATAATAATCTCATATCATCATCATGATCATCGTTACATTGAACAACTAGAACAAACATCAACAAACAATAACAGAGAGAGAGAGAGAGAGACCCAAGAGAAACAATAACACAAAGACAGCGATTCCCCTTGTTCGCATCACCTATTCACCATGAGAATAAAAAATATTACAGCCCCAGCAATAGTGGTAATAATAATAAACATGAACATGAACATTTATGACTCCTTTTTCTTTCTTTTTTGCTTCACACCAAGAGAGAAAGAATGGCAAAAAAAATCAAACATGAAATTTTTATTCATTCGCATTTACGCAGATGAAATCAAGTCTATGCTCGGCGTCTATTTCATTCGCATTGGACGACCTAACTGATTGAAAAGCACCTGATTCAGTTTCCAAACAGCAAACTAAAACGAAATGGATATTTGCTTTGCACTCACAAGTGGAGTGAAATACAAAAAGCAAACAGAATGTAGTCAGAGCTTGTCGGACAAATTTTCATTTTAAATAAATGGAAAAAACAACCAATGTATCGTATCGTGAAAAATGATGATGGATTGATTGGAGCCAAGAATCGTACTGTTGAGATGCTAACTCGTCGTTATTAGTACACACACAGCAGTAGTACATTACTAGCGACCGGCTCACATTTAGGCAATGATTTGTCACACGAGTTGTGACAACACTTTTTCGCTTCAGCAACAACAACAACAACAACCAACGAAACTCGGGAATCGGCAAAATTCTTTTTCGATTGCCAAGTGTGATTTGATATATTGTGTCAACCATACAATGCACTAGTGTTGTCGTTTATTTTCATATTTTCATTTTGATTATTTATTATAATCACCATGATCGTATCATATTAATGATGACATCAACACCAACACAAACAACGACACCAACAATATTAATGAACGATTCAGCCATGTAATAATAATCATAATGAATTAGTAGTGTGTGTGTGTGTGTGTTTTGTGTTTCGTTACATGGTTATTAAGAAAATACAATTAAAACATTGCCGCAAACTTTTCCGGCGGTTTTCTTTGCAATGTTTGAATGTGTGAAAAAAAAAAATTCAAGATAACGTCGAGGCGGAATCGATCAACGATGACATACACAGTTGGTAAATTGTCACATTCTGCCGCATCATTTTGGCTCGTAAATTAAAATAAATGGCATATTCACAACTTTGCATTAGCACCGGGCTCGAAGCCATTTTCTCTATTTTCAAAAAAAAAAAAAAAAAAAAAATTCCAACCACTCACTTTGATCTTGATAAAATGAAAACTATCCGAGTCCGTGACTTTAGACTTGCCCATTGGCAATGCTAATGTCCATTGATGCATCACATTAACCAGACTTTTTTCAGCCATTTTTCTATTGTTTTTTTTAAACTGGAAAAATGAAAATTTTTTTTTTCAAAACGTCAGAATCACACACACTATATCTGGCCATCCATCCATTTGGCGTTATGATAAACCAGAACATGTTCCAGAAATGGTGAATGCTGCATAGTCATTTTACAATTATATTAATGATTATTATGGTTATGATTTGTGCGTGTGTGTTCTGGCTCAAGAATAAGAGAGAGAGAGAAAAGGTTTTTGTAAAACCAAAAACTGATTCAAAAACGGAACCAAAGTGAACAAAGAAAAAAAATTAATGTCCTCATTTGAATTATTGATTGTACGAAACGAAACTCTATTTGATGATGTTGTCATTGTTGTTATTGTTATTGTTGTAGTAGGAGTAGTAGTGATTTCTTTACAATGAGGTTAATTTGAATGAAAAATGTAATGAAACGAAACGAAAATCAACAACAACGCTAGTAGTAATGTGTGGGGCGAGATTGAAATTGTTGATACCCCGGGTAGCACACCATTCAAGTTGGCGTGATACCTAATTTGCACGATAAAATAGAGATAATGATGGTGGTCTGAGAGTGGTCTGAAAACTATTTCATTTAGAATATTGAAATAATAGTTTCACAATGGGTTGAACCGAGTCATTTTCAATGACGACCAATTCAATTAGCGATCATTTGTAGAAAATGAAATCATTTTCGATTCTCGCAATTATCATAATCATCAAGATCGATGCCGAATACAAAGTTACAAAGGTTGCACCCCAATCATGGACTGATCAAAATGCCAAATTGAAATTGAAAAGTCAGATTATTCAATTGAAATAAACTTTTTCAAATGATCAAATGATTCACGAGTCTGTGCAATTGGCCTTTTGGTTTGCAATTAATCAACAAACTCTCTATGACTATGAATGGAACAATGAGTCCAATGCAACAAAGAGATTTTCACAATGACAAGAAAAAGGAATTTTCTGATTCAGAATTTCTGAACGAGAATCGAGGATGTTTTCATCATCATCATTTCGTTTGGATTGATGATTCGTTGCTCACGCGATTCAGAAGGTTTTTCTTTTTGGCTATGTTCAAGTGTATGTTTTTTTGTGATTTTTGAAGCTTTTTCTGGATTTCATTAGCGTGTGCTTTTCAAAAGGAAATGAAGCACGAGAGAGGGAGATTTCTTCATTTCAATTCTCGAGTGCTTTCTCCATTTCATCATCATTGGTATCTGTTTGGATCATTGAGAAATGATAATAACGCAATCATTGAGTGTGAGTTTAATTTAAACTTTTTAAAAGAATTAAGTTTCACTTCAAATAATGGAACAAAGCAAAAAAAAAAAAAATTAACAAACTAGATCATCGGGCCTAGGACCTTGGATAAAAGAAAAAAGTGAAATAGATCCTTTTATTCCAGTCGAAAGAATCCTTCGACCAGCAACAATGATTCTGTCTTGTTGTTGTTTTTTGTTTATACCCAGATCATCATCATCATCATCAAAAGTAAAGAAAACTAAACGTAAAGTAATGTATTCTTGGTTACTTGGGATACTTAAACGAAACGAAACTCGACCAACAAACGGAAAAAAGCAATCCAATTTCAACAACAAAAGCAAAAACGATACGGATGAATCAATTTTTCTTGTTGTTCGATCCGAACATCAACATCAACAACAACGACAGAATGAATGAATGGATACAGTCATTGATTGAGTGGAGCGAGAAAATGTAACGAAAATCATTCTCCATCTCTCTCGTTTGTTCTGGAACCTGAAACTAACCATTCATCCGCCTACATGGTTGTATTATTATTACCTAAACACACAAAAACGAGAAGCAAAGAAAGTGGAAACCCATAGTTACAGGACCGTTTTCAATCGAATCAAACAACAACAACAACAACAACAACTGACCAAACGATCAGATCGGTATTGAAGAATCAACTAAACAAGCACAAACGACCCCTAAACTCTAACAAAAGAAAAGTAATTCTACCGGGATCCGGAAAAGAATCTTTTGCACGGTGTGATGTTTGTTCATTCGATTAAAAAGTTTATATGCTCAATGCACACAACAGACACAGACAGAAGAAAAATCAAACCAGAGTTGTGAATGGGCAAATTTAGATCGACATTTTAATTCGGTAATTGAGCCGAATTCAATTCAAGACGGTGGCCATTAACATACGATTTACTGGACTTGTGCAAAGTGAAAAAGAATCCAAATTTTTTTCGCATCAAAGCAAAAAAACCCCAAGCAATTTAAATAACCGTTTCTTTCAGACACACACACACAGGGCTAAATGGGAGAAAAATGAACGACGATCAACCAAAACACAAAAATGGATGAATGAACGAAAAAAGCTTAAAGAGCGATGATCGTTGCTTTATGTTCGGACGCCATTGCCATCATGATGGAAATATATTAAAACAAATTTCTTTTCCTTCAACACACACGCACACGAAAATAGTACCCCTCTGTTTTTTCTTTTTTCCGAAAGAAGAAAAAATACAACTTGATCTCGATCAACTACAGACCTACTCTTGAAGTGAAAAATCTTTCCTTTTCCTATTCGGTGGTTGGTTGGTGCAATCATTCCATAACCAACCGATGTGTGTGTATGTCTCATGCTCATCGTTTTCTCACACATTTCTCTCTCTCTCTCTCTCTCAATCCAAACTGATCGTTTTGACTGACAAAATAAATTATTAACAAAGCAAATCGACTATAAACAGCTACATAATCGTTTGGCAACAACAGAAAAAAATCTCAGAATGAATGGAAAAAAGATACATTAAAAGCCACAAAATGCTTTGAACGATACAAACGACTTGGACAGGGATCGACAATTGATGTCGATGATCATAAGTGAGCGATCTGGCCCAAAGTAAAACCAGAGTGAAACGGTATAAAACCAACAAAAAGACTCAATAAAATGTAGATTTGCCTGTTTGCTTGCTTGCTTGGTTGGTTGGTTGGTTGGTTGGTTGATAGGTTTGGTTTGGCAAAATGATCCTTCCTAGAATGCAGAGATATTTTTTATCGATAGATCTCGGTTTTTGATCACATCTCAAAGATTTTTTTACGGCCTTCTCATCATCATGGTTTGGACATGTTTGCAATGATTGCCCAAGAGAGCATCCATCAATGGATCCATTTCTGATTGCTGCTAACCTATCTCCATCTTTTTCATCCATGACATTAGGTCGCCCAATTTAATAGTTTGAGAAAATAAATCATAGAAAAAACACAGCGAGCAATCGAGAATTTTCAATGACAAAATATTTAATTTATCATCAATTCTAGAAAGGAATTCCAACAACAACCAAAGATTGACACATACCTTTTTGATGATCGAGCACAAACACATATATGATGATTTGGTGATATGGTAATCACGACATGTGACAAATTCATGAAAAACACCAAAAGTTGTTTTTTAATTAAAACACACAACACATGATGATGATGATGATGATTAAAAATGATAATTACAATTCACACACACTGATCACTTGGCGGCAAAAGGTGTTGTTCATCGCACTCACAATCATCATTCATCATATGGATTGTAAATCGAATCGTTACTGTTTCACATTTGCATATACCACATTGAACATGGTGGACCATACATATTCATGGACAAATGGCAAACACCCGACTGGTCTGTATGAGTGAATGGTCCAACGCCAACTGAAATGAACAGAACAATTCCTAGATGTTGTTGTTGTTGATGATGATGATGATGATCGTGTAAAAGATGTGGAAAACAATCCACGCACGCACATTGGCACATTGGATCCAAATGGATCAACATCGCATGGCAATCATGACCATCAGTTGTGGATGTTGGCTGGTTGAATGGCACCGTCGTGCATCGGTAACAATTTCGGTCTGCTCAGAATTGTAATCCAAGAGAAAGTTCACGAAACTTTGGCGCCCAACCAACGTAAATTCAAAGTCGTTCAAGTGGAAAGCATGTGATAGCAGTGAATATGCCCTGATGACGACAAGAAAACAAAAACAAAAATCAAAATCATTATGATCAGGAACGTGCGCATTTAGCGCCAAAATTCCGGTTGTTCATTAGTGTGTGTGCGAGACAAAGAATCGAGCAATAGAACAGCAAAGTTGCTGCCATCTATAGATGTTTATTACAACGTTTCACTTTCGACTTTAGTTCTCACCAATAGATGGCAATTAAGTAGTGAATATTTGAATTATTGGATCATTTTGATTTTAAGAAGAAAATGAGAAAAATGAAAGGTCATTGATTACATGACGATGATCCAACTAATTGATGGCCGAGAACACACAGAGAGCCACAGGAGTCGACTAGAATCTGATATGATGATTCGCATGGAACATCAGTGTCATCAAAGTTTAAATACTCCACACCCAACAACGAACAGCAAACGAACGGTGATCGGAAAGAATCGTGCTAGCTACCATCAGATTGGAAACATTTTAATAAAAACGTCAAATTAACAGACTGACTGACTGAGTGATTGGATGACTGGATGACTGGCTGGCACGAAGATACCGATGACAATGTCAACGAATCAACCTAATGATTCACACACACACACATATACGTGTATACACGTGCTATGTTATGGTCGAATCAAATCTGGCAAGGTTATACTGACTGGCATAGAGCAATGTGAACATTAAATCATGCTGTGAAACATTGATGGACACGCGACCTGCTGCAACAGACTTGGAACAAACACGTAACCAAGCAGACAATAAACGGTAATATTAAACGGTGTTTGACATCATTGCTGTCTCGGTTTCGCCTCCCGTGTGTTTGAACCTAATTGAATTGTTTCCTATCGAGTCGAATTAATTTTCTACAAACAAACAAACATTCATTCACCAGTGATTCGAACAGAAATTATTTTTCACGAATAAAAACTAACCCAAATGTAACAGATAATTAGACCAGACTACACTACATTAGACAGCAAACAAGCGATAAATTCTGTGATTCCATCATGTCAAAGGTGTTTAATGTTCATACACGCAAAAAGGCAAATCAAACAATGATGATCATTACAAGCTAATGATATGGACCACAGAACCAACCATTATGAGCCAATTAATAATATGGGCCATCCATTCATACGAATCAAGCCAAGTGAATTGAGCCAGTTTTTTAGATCAAATCAATCTCAGTATTCATTTTATTCATTTTATTACAGGAATAAAATTTGATTCAATGTGCTGGTGGTGGTGGTTGGTTTGATCAAATCGATTTGATCCCTCTTAACCTTGGACAATTTTATTTCAATTTATTTAATTTTTTAGATTTCGACCATGTAAATGTTGTGGCTGCAACAAAATGAATGAATGAATGAATGAACGAACGTGTTTGCCATGTTGAACAGAATGGCCATCCATTGACACCGCTATCGATCATTTTGGAGATTTGACAATTTTTACCATTCTATGGTCAGGATGCAAATCCTGGTTTCGAAAGAAAGAAAGAAAAAGAAAAAACATTTCCAGCCAATATTGCATTTTGTCATCACATTTTTTATTCGATTCTCCCGATTCTCAGTAATAGGTTCGAAACTGAAACGACACTCTCTCTCACACACACACTGACAAACAGAATATGCGAATGAACGAATGTGATTGGCGGAATGGTGTGAACGAAAACCACCCACAAGTGTTCATTCATAATTGATCACTAAGGGAGTATCCAAGACAGACAGACAGAGTGAATGTGAATGTGAAAAGCATCATCATTCGAATTAGTTGTGCCCTCTCTCTCTCTCTCTCTTTTCTTTTCGCGCGCTTTCACTGTTGAGAATAGGAGGGTTGTGGATGTTATCGCTGCTCATGACAACGAACCAACTTGGTTTTGGTGTAGTGGTTCCGACAAAACCAATGGTTGGTTGTTTGAAGGAATGGAGGAAAATCAACCAATATCCCGTTGCTTGACTTGGTATTTATTTATTTATTATGAACAACACACATTCACACATTCACACACAGATATCATCATCATCATCACTATGATTTCGGCCATCCATCCATTCAGCAGTGTAGAAGACTCTGTTAGACAAACCAGTCATATATTCACATTAGCCATTTCCTATTAATCTTTGATGATCAAGGTAATTGATTAATTAATTAATCTACATAGAACACATACAAACATACATACAAACACAACCACAGTGCCAATGTGAACTGATCCAATTTTCAACGACAACGACGGCATGAATGAAACTCGGCTCTGAAAATCTCGAGAAAAAGAAGAAAATAAGCTAACTAACTTTGTTGTTGTTGTTGTTGTTGATTTGTTGTTGTTTTGTTGTTGTTTGTATAGATCCGTTCAGCCATGTTTTGAAGTTGAATATGCGATATGAAATCAATAAATGAATCAACGAATGAATGAATACATGCAGATATAATTCTTGATTAGTGTGAAATCATCGCAATAAACATCAATCAAACCGCAATCACGGCATCATCAAAATTTTACGATTCAACCGGCACCGTTGTCGGTGGTGGTGGTAGTGGTGGTGGCAACTCTTCATCCGGTTCGTCCACTCCGGCCGCATTCTGGGAAACGCTTTGGCCAACAATGTTGAACAATTTCCATTCAAGCTCAGCAGTTGTTGCTGCGGCCGCTGCTGCCAAAGAAACCAATGGAGATCTTGTCAAAAGTGCCCAGAACACAATGTCAGCAACAGCAAGTAGTACCTTATTGCTTGGTGGCCACGGTAATGGCTTGCAGAATCAAACAACAAACAACCCGACATTGATGGCACATTCATCACAGAATCTCAACTCTCATCATCACCCTCATCAACAACAACATCAGCCCCAACTGCATCATGGAAATGGTGGTGGTGGTGGCCACCATCACCTTCATCATCCATCACATCATCAACATTTGCATTTGCTCGCCGAAACAACTAATCAACAACATCATCAACAGCAGCAACAACATTCACACCACCCTGGACATCATCATCATCATCAGGTGGTGAATAATGTTGACCATAATCATCATGCACACCATCATCATCTATTGAATTCATCAATCAACACAGCCGACCTATTGCTACAGTCCAACAACAATGGTGCTAGCAATACACATGATTCTCATCATCATGATCATCATTCCAACAAACAACAACTTAATCACCATCCACAACAACAACCACAACATCCATCACATCATCATCATCAACAGCAGCATCAGCAGCAACAACAACAATCAAAACAGAAACGTCATCGTACACGATTCACACCACAACAGTTGCAAGAATTGGAACGAAGTTTTGGCAAAACTCATTATCCCGATATCTTCATGCGAGAAGAATTGGCCATGAGAATCGGTCTAACGGAATCTCGTGTTCAGGTATGGTGTTACTAATGGTGCAAAAACTGGAAGCAGAAAGGTTTATTATTTTACTAACGTGTGTGCATTTGAATAGAATGAATTTGTTTGTTTGCTTGTTTGCTTGTAGCCAAAGTGTGTGTGGTCTGAATCGATTTCTATAAATGGGCCATAAACCATTTATAACCGATTGTCTAGACATTTGTCACCGACGATGAGAAGAAGAAGAAATTCTCACATGAACACCAACCAGGTCAATTTCATTTTATTTGATCATTCTTAGATGTTTGTCAAGTAAGGTACACACACACACACAGAGAGAGAGACAGAATTGAGATGAAATGAATTAGTAGTGTAGACATAGACAAGTGAAAGATAGATTTGATGCAAGTGAAAGTCGAAATATTTCCAAGTATTCAAGTCAATCTTTTGTTGCTTCATTGTTGTTGTGTCGTCTAGTGAGTGGTCAATGAGAATAACCGGTGATGTGATTACCGTATATTACTACTACTGTATGCATGTGGCCACCATAGAGCTCTCTTGGGAGAAAATCGTATATTCGTTGGCCATGCACATTCTCATTGCACCTTAATCACAAACACACACACACACATACGCGCACACAGTAATTGGGCTTTGACTTTATGCCGCCATTCGAATTTATATTCTTTTTTCCTAGCTCAAACGATGATGATGTTTGAAACTGACTGAACAAATTTACCTTGAAATCGAATGAGACTGTATAGACGATGACCATAAAAACACTGTTATTCATTGCTCACAACCAACCAGTATGTGTGTGATTGGTTTAAATTTCGGGATAAAGTCACCGACCCTGGATGATAGTAATAATGATGATGATGGTGATTGTTATTGTTATTATGAGCTAATAATCATTATTTATCATCATTCTGCATTCTGCATTCTGTTCTCTTGTCTTATTCGTGATGAGCAAGTAAGGCAAATATGAACAATTGTCAACATGTTTCGTGTTGTTTCATAGTGTTTCATATTCACTCACTGACTGATACAAACATTGTTGGTTAATATTGATGATGATGATGATGTGAATGATCACACATCAAACATTAAACCATCTCTCTCTCTCCTCTAACAGTAGTGTAATGCATCATTATTGAAAACAAAGTCAAACCCAACAGACATTCTTACTCTAGAATCTAGATCATCACATGAATGGCGCGAGTAAGAAAACGAAATCAGAATCGAGTGTGAATGGCGAACGAGCCATATGGATATCATCGATATGAAATGAATCAAAGATGGTATCCAGGGATTTCTTTTTCACTTTTTTCTCTCCCGGTGCCACACCGATTCTTCTGGGACTATGTTCCGTGTACGCGTTTCATAGCGTTCAATGTTGTTAACGTTCGCTCGTGCAAAACGAATGAATGAATAACGGGCTGGCTAAAAGCGAAATAGACAACAAACATAAACGACAAAAACGAATCGACGACGACAACATTAACAGCAATTTTGCATTTTCGATATTAATGTGGTTTTGCTGTCCCATTAAAAAATAATCTGTCCCAATGAGCCTATGTGTCTCACTCACTTTCTCTCTTTCTCACTTTCACTACATGAAACTGTGAATGAATGAATGAATGAATGAATAGATAGATGGATGGATGGATTGGATGCTGCAAAAGAAAAAAAAAGTCAAACGAAAAAGAGAAAAGACGACACGTATACTGGGACATTGGGAATAATACAAATAATATCATCATCATCTAAAATGAACCAAACTGCAGTCTATATTCTCTATGTGAGTGCTGCTGTGAATGCGTGTTGTTTCTGAAAACAGAACCAAACAGAACCAACTACAACATCCACAAGCTCAGAATTGATGGAAACTCCCTATATGCTTTTCTCCATTTCTCCTTCGTATCTCATAGATAACCAAAACACACACACACATTTGTCGTCTAAATTGAGCTTTTAAAAGCTTTTTGTCAGATGCCAAGAGTGCATCCAATAGGAAAACTACTTTTTCGCTTGTCGTTGTTGTGTCGAGCTAATGTTCTTTTGAAAAGAATCGACCACGGGAAAATTAGTCGCTTATGGTGGTGGTGGTTGTTGTTTGTTTGTTTGTTTGTTTAGATCCAAATCACAAGAAAAAGTCAAAACAGGCAACTCATTTTGATACAAATTGTTTGATTTGAAATGAGAAAAACAATAATTGAATTGAAAATGTCAAATTCATACAACAACGGAAAATAAGCAATTTTTTCTCTTTTCTTTTCTTTTCTTTCCTTTTCTAGGTCTGGTTCCAGAATCGAAGGTAGGTATCCGAGTATTAGACGGTCAATCATTGATTCAATTGTTAATCATCATGATATTCATCCGATTCAGAGCCAAATGGAAGAAACGAAAAAAGACAAACAATGTTTTCCGTGCGGCCACATCGTTATTGCCGACAACACATAGTTTGTCAATGAATCCATTCGCTACGATGGCGCCCAATGCAAATTCAGCATCAGATTCTTTGTGCAACGCATTCGGATCGGTAAGCGGTGGTGGTACTGTAACAGCATCCACCATGATCGATTCACGATGGACACTATCCACCGGAATGTCATCACATAGTCTTTCAAGCATTGGACATACGTTACGACCACCACCACCGCCGCCACTACCATCCACAACGACGCCATTAGCAGTACCACCCTCATCATCATCATTCAACAATGGGGGCGGCGCTGCTGGTGGAACCAGTCAGTATGCGACAGCCGCAGCGGCCACCGCTCCTTATTCAACAACGACATTACCGAATTCGATGAATTGTTCACCACCAACGCCAAATCAGCCGCCGGAAACTCAATCCCCAACTGGGCAATCACAATCATCAGCATCGGCCACAACGACAACGACATCATCTTGTTCACCTGGTAACAGTAGCAGCAATGGTGCGGCAAGCAGTGCAGGCTCCTCTTCGGTCATCAGCAATAATTGGCTTTGTTCGACCAGCACTGATTCAGCATGGCAGCGAAATGGCAATTCGAGCATTGCAACATTACGACGTAAAGCACTGGAACATTCAGTCATGACCATTCGTTGATTCTTTCAGATGATCAATTTGCAGCATCTAGCAAAACTTGTCATCAAATCAAACCTTTGTCCCTTGAACGTATCCTCATCATGTAATTCAATCATAATAATCATGCATGATATCTATCCACCACAATGATCCCTTGTTTGTTCAAAAATTGAATAAAGTTTTTTTCAAATTCAATTCATCCAACACTCCGATATGTTCACTGATATATGGCTACCATGGCAACTTGACATGGTAGTTTATTATTAATACAAAATGCACTCACACACACACACACACACACGGTTATGAAGATGGGGTGGGATGGAATCTCTGGGATGTGGAATTCGACAGAATCGTTGTTGTGCTCGACAATTTAATTAACAATCTCGACTAGTCAAACATTCAAAGACCGATGGCCAATGAACAGATGTAACACACAGACAGCATTCTGTTGTTTTCCACCAAGAAAGAAATGCAATCGAGAGAAATGGCTCAAACAACAGAATAAATGATGGTAAATTCCAATGGATCGTTTTTTTTTTTTTTTTCCTTGATCTCCAAATGGAATCGGTAGCAACTTCCATTGCAGATGTGATGTGATGAATTTTTTCAGGGTTGATGATGATGATGATGGGCTCACAAATAAGAATCCAAACCAATGCACACACATATAGAGTGCATGTAATAAATTTAGTTTTGAAAAAACCAATGTCATAAACGAAATAGCAGGCAGTAAGTCTGGCTGTGATATTAAATTCTTTGTGCTTGGCTTAAACTTGTGAAATATCGAGATTGAGAAACTGAGAGATCACAGTGAGAAAGAGAGAGAGAGAGAAATCGGTCTCGTAGGAACGAATGTTTGGCATCTTATTCGGTTGTTTTTGTTGTTTTTTTCGCTGTCATCTCTCAATAGGCGGTAAACGATTATTGTGCGAACAAACGTTCCATCATCAGTTGACTATGTCCTGTTCTAATGTGTGCAATGAATGAATTCACTTCTACGCTTCTGTGTCTCAGACTTACATTGCATAGCGAGATGTTCCGAAATTCCGGAAATGACGACGATGAAACCAAACACAAACACACAGCAAATGTTTAATTAGATTTAAGATACAAAAGCATTTATTACCGATTTGAAAAAGAAAAAATAAACATCATCTGCATTGTTTGCATGACAATCATCATAGACAACAATTAAAGACACAACATCGCCATCTATTGACAGCGATTGTAGTCACGAGGAAAGAATAGTCGTTATCGTTAAATTTTATAATCCATACAATTTATTCGGTTCAACAAATTGATCCAGATTATCGAGATTATCCCACCATTTAAAGAAGAATTTCTCCAACATGATCCTAAACCATGGTGTGGTGGGCGAACCTTTGGCGTTTTCAGCATCCAAAAATGGTAGCAATTCATGGCGAGAAATGAATCGATATGATTTCACTTCATCCGGATCTGGATTGATGGCCACATCACGATGTATGATCAACGCATAATCGATTTCGTGTTCACCCCAGACATCGTTTGACGACGCTTTGTACAGGAAACGTGTCATGAATTTCATCTCTGACAATGGAATTTCCAATGGATTGATGCCAAGCTCGAGATGAAGACGGCGTTGAGCGGCACGTTTCACACCGATAGCATCAGATTGTTCCATCTCTAATGGCGTATATAATGGATGGCTACAACAGGTGTTGGTATAATAGCCGGGAAATGTGATTTTCTTGTCCGATCGTTGAGTGAGAAGGAATTCATTTTTCGAATTGAATATGAGAACGCTGAATGCACGATGCAGGAGGCCTTTGTTGATGTTGGCCATTAAATGGCAGGCTTTTTTCGACTCACTCCCGACCACCTCATCGTTCTGGTCGACTAGAATGCATTTTTCATTGAGCAATTCCACTTGACCTTGATCGTAATTATCTAGTTCGACTTTCGGGTTGCCGATCGTGCTCATCATGAACCGTGAATGATACTGAAATGCACTTGTCAATGATGGAATCCGCGATGTTATGGCCAATTTGGTCACACTCTGCGATACGAAACTACGAGAAAAGTAAATCATCATTCGTTTAAATAGAAATAGAAAACAAACAAGTGACAAGTGGTTAGAATGATTAACACAAACATACACATACACACACATGATTTACCTTATGATTGTCATTGATCGATGCGTCAGGTTTTCGTTTCGTCAGTGAAATATGTTCAAATTCAAACTTTTCCTCAATAAAACAAAAACGTAACGGTTGATTTCTTGGCCACAAAATGCAATGTCCATTGAAGCCGTTTAGGGTTATTCGTCATCGATAAATTTAGGACAAATCGATGTGTCCTAGGTGTGAGAAATGAAGAGGAAAAACCGATTTAAAAAAAATTAAAAATAGATTCAACAATACTACACAGGTGTATAAATTATTGATTCAAATCATGGACAAACTGGATTGCTTTTTTCTCGCACATTCAGCTGATTTGAAGGGAGACGGTGCAGTTTGAGTTGTATCGTTTTCATGGATATCGATGAAAAAAAATCACAAAAAGTTTTATTCTTGTTCGATAGATGGCGGAATATATTACTTATTTTGAAATTTTCTCTTTCGAACCGAATTGATTTGACTTTTCGACAAAAATTATTTCTTTGCTATCGAACTCTACTCGTTTTCTGGTTTCGATCATAGATGGTACTGGTCTTTCAGTTTGGTTTGCAAGAATCGAATAGAATTGAATTGATTGGAAATGAAAATATTTGGTCGCAGTACAAATTGAATCATCAATTACAATAGTATTGTCTGTGTGTCTGTGAGTGTGGTATAATCAATTTGATTCATCCTGATGATGGGCAATCATCTGGTTGAACAAAAACAAACGTCATAGATATAGCCCGAAAACAAGGTGGAGCCAATAACGATCGGCAGACCAGGATTGGTCGGCAATTATATAGCTTTCAACCGGATTGTATACAGTCAACGATAGACACAGACACACACACACACACACATGACGGCGGGTGCAATCAAAGTCCTCCCTATAATATTACATTCTCTATAATTGGCCCATCAACCAGAATCATTGTTCCAGAATGCAGCAGCAGAAGCAGAATTGAACAAAATTCCCGGATATTGGCGAGAAGCAGTAAATGGACGATTGTAGAGGTATTAGAGAATGTATGGCAACTTTTATGGTTATGAAATTTGGTGCCGCATCCTGTGTGACGACGATGATCAATGATAATAACAATAATCGAATCGACACATTAGAGGGGGAGATGAGAGTGGAAGATTTAATTTGAAAATACAATTCATTTAAACATTGAATATGAACCAAGTGTATTTGTGTGTGTGTGTGTGTGTCTGGTCTGATGTGGTGTTGGCAAAATTGTTAGACATAAATCCAACGATCAAGAATCGGCAATGCATTATGATGTGAGGCGTCCATATAATCGAATCATAGAATGCTTATTCCATTGTGCAATTTTCTGTCATCGACAATTCAGATCATGTGAATGTCGAATGTGCCTTTGCTCGTCATAATAATGATGATGATTTGATCATCATGAAGCCATTCAATTCTAGTCACTCTACGCTCTCTCTCTCTCTATATATATAGGTAATTTGAGTTTGTCAACTTTGTTGTTCATCAGTACATGTCTGTCTGTTGGTTTGGATTGTGTAATATAAAGTGTCTGTGCATTGATCATTCCAGTTTCATTCAGACAATCTTGGTCGAGGTGTTCGCTTGATTTGTTTCCAATGGTGATGGTTATAATCCTTTGGTGATTGTTTTGATTAATTGGACAATCGAATGATTATGGAGAATAATTCATTTTACTTGGATCATCATCACCATCATCATCAACATGATGTGGAATCAACGTTGAAAAACGAGATGCGAAAACTGGTTTTTATCCCCAATCTACATGAATCGATGGATAAATGTAGCAATAATGATAACCAAGGCAAACTGGATCACTGTGGCCAAATGTTTGCTCAATTCAATTGCAATAACAATAATAGCCAATTGCACAATCTAAAGATACGCAAAGATATCAATACAGCCATCGTTGACCATCGATCGAATCGATACAGTATCGACGAGATACTCGGCTTGAAATCATCATCCAACAAGTTTAATGCTGCTGCAACCATATCGTCCAAACAACGACACCACAACCAAACATCCACATTCAATTGTCTGTTGTCCTGTGTGCACCATCACCAGCATCACAATAACCACGATCACGGTAAGTAGCGTGAATGACTTGAGGTTGAATATGGATCATAAGTGCAAAGACAAGATTAGTGATCGAATGATAATGATAGCCTAGTAAACATAAACACACACACACACACACAGCAGGTCATCTAACCAATTAGTGAATGCATTCAATTCGATTTCTGTTACTGTCATTCCATTTGATTCATCATCCTCGATAATGAATGGAAAATGTTTTTGCAAATTATGGCAACCAATTTCAACGACCAGCACGGGGTTACATTGTGACAGCAAAACTTTTGATTTTGTAACCATTCTGTTGTTGCTGCTGCTGCTGGCAAATGATTATGTAATATTTTAATCGAATCAGTCATTCAGTTAGTTTGCAAATTGTCTCAAATGACATCCAGAGACATTGGTGAGTTTCAATTTTGAATTGAAATGAAATTTGTTTTCGTTGATAATTGTTTGATTAGTTTGAATCTGGATAAATCCTTATTCATGATGAATATAAAGGGAGAATGCCGAACTGTAGGAAACAAAACAATTGCAGAAGAAAAGTACCAGGTTTCGATTGTGTTTGTTTGTCCAAAACAGAACCAATACCACAATATGGAGAGTGAGGCAATGTTATTGTTGGCCCAATTGTTCCAAGATTGCTGTTGTTGTTGTTGTTGTTGTTGTTATTGTTGTTGTTATTGTTGTGGTTGTGGTTGTTGATAGATGAGAAAAGTGTTTCAATTCAACTACAGAGACAGACATGGTCATTGTAATGATCAAAATGAAACATTAGAACATTGGCAACACTAGTCAATCTTTTCTTGGACCTTTCTTTTCATGCAAAACAACACAACCAACCTGCGGCTATTTGTAAAAGAAACAAGAAAATTATGAAACTATTATTGCACGGGACAATTATGTCGCTGACTGACTAGCTGGCTGGCTGGCTGGCTGGCTGGTGATTATTACCTTTATTAATCCACAATGGACACTTTTTCACAACGACAAAAAGAACCAAATTCAGACAGACAGTTTGCGAAGCGCGTTGAATCAAACAAAATACCAACATGCTCAACATTCTAATCAGATCAACACACACACACGCACACAATAGTTTGGCGGCAGGTAAAGAAAGAGGCATCTAGATGAATCGGCGTCAACTATCAAAGTTCATTATCATAGAGAGATTGAGTTTGTCGTTGTTGGTTGTTTTTGTCACAAGAAAAATGTTTATAGCAATGTTCACTGCAGAAAGAAAACTAATTGAACCAATTGATTTTAGGCCATAATGGCGAGGATGATGGTGAAATTGGTCATTGCACGGCTAGCAATGAGGAACACAATGGTGATGACAACAAAGATTCCGATCATGGCGACGATGTTGATGACGATGTGGACGTTGAATTTGGCGTAGGACGCAATAAGAATGGGTCGCCCGACTTATTCGATGGCAATGATGATGGTGAATCGATGCTTAGCAACCCGGATGCCAGCGACAGTGGAAACAGCGGAAATGGTAATAAGAAGAAACATCGCCGTAATCGGACCACATTCACAACATATCAATTACATGAATTGGAACGAGCGTTCGAGAAATCACACTACCCCGATGTGTATAGCCGAGAAGAATTGGCAATGAAAGTGAATCTGCCCGAAGTACGAGTCCAGGTAATATGACTAAGCAAATATTATCACTCCAGTGAATCATGAATCATAAATATTTATGTTGTGCATGAAAATTTTATTTTTATCAAAAAAATTTCATTTCCGGAACAGGTTTGGTTTCAAAACCGAAGGTAAATATTGTTTGTTTGTTCAACAAAATGGGCAAGTGAGTCAGTTTTTAAATTTTCAAATAAATTAAATTCCTACCCAAAAGGGCCAAATGGAGACGACAGGAAAAACTGGACGATCAAAGTTCCTACCGAAGTCTTGGTGGCAAAGATTATGATCCAAGTCCAACCAATGCAACTGCGATGCAATTGTCATCATCGCCGCCACCATCACCATTACCACCAGCTCGGTCTTCATCATCGTCGTCATCCGGTCGTCCGATTACTTTGGCCAGCTCAACAGCAATAAATTCATCGGTTGTCAATCCGATCAAATCTCATGCATTCAATTCGAATTTCCTGATGCCCAGCATAGGTGTGACATCACCATTGATGGCCAGTGGCACATCGTTTGTATCAAGTTTGGATTCTTGGCTTGCAACGGCTGCGGCCATCGGATTTGCAACCAATTCAACGACGGGTCAACAACAAATGCCTGCACCACCCACCACCTCATCTCATGGTCCATTTTGTAGCATGTTTAGTCCATCCTTTTATGCCAGTTATTCCAATTATCTACCGCATCCACACGGATTTGACCAGCAACAATCATCGACCAAAATACCACTATTGGCCAATACATCCATTGATCAATCCAATGATCAAGAAATGGAACAGAAATCTAAAGTGACCTGGCCAATCGACGATAACATGGCAATCAGGGAAGAATTACGAAGTAAAAAATGCACATCAACATCAATCAGCCCTTCCACTAGTCCATTGAATCTTTCTTTATCGAGTGAATCGATAACCAATCAGCCATCAGAATCGATTGATAATGATCATCATGATGGCGATAAACCAGTGTGTCTCAATCACAACAGCATCACTGCTGACGTCAATCAAAAGTGACAATTTTATACATATGATAAACACTGGAATAAATTGAATTCAATAATAATAAACGATAAACGATGAACGATGATTGTAATGAAACTTAAACGTTTTTTCCTTTCACTCACCAGAACCCATGCTGTGTGTGTGTGTGTGTGTTGAACGAAGCTTTTTTGTCACAATTTGCCGGTGCAGGAAATTGCCCGAGATTTGATTTGATTTTGCCGAATCAAATAAAGAGAAGAATGAATTGGATGGATTGGATGGATGAAAAAACCCATGCCCGACACTCACCACTCGGGTACTACTTGGATAAAGTCTCTGCATCCGATCCTCTTGTGTTGTTGCATGGCAAGAAGAATATTTCTCCGGTCGAAAAGATTTTCCAACTTGAACTTGGAAATTTGATTATTACAATATTACCAATCGATGAACCAACGAATGAATGAAATGTTTTTTGTGCTGTGCATCATGGGTCATCATACAAAAGAGAAAGAGAGAGATTAGGTTAGATTCAAGTAGAATGATGCAATTACTAAACATGGCAAGCTGCATAATCATAATTGACAAATGAAATCATTGCCATCATGACGAATGAATATTAAATGGAAACGAGACTCAGTGAGAGAGAGAGGGAGAGAGGATGAGAATCAGATTAATAATCTGCACTGCCATTCATGATTATTATTGCTCTCTATCGTTAAATCTTGACATCGGATTTACTTGGGATGATTTCCTAAAAATGGAACATGGCATTCAAGTGTTTGATTATTGCAAATTAGTCAACTTTTTTTTATTATTTAGCCACCGAGTGGATTACAGCAGGAGGAACAAAACAAAACAAAACAAAACAAGAAAACAAAACTAAACAAAAATGAAAAAAGACAAAATCGATGCCAAGTGCCACACTAATACGATTTAATAGGGTGCCCGTTTCGTTCGATCGTTGTTTGGTTCTACAGTTCAAGTTAAAGTGAAAATGGAAATGGAAATGGAAAAAATAACGAAAAACAACTCACCAGTAAATCGAATGCCAAATTAGATAACGTATACGTAGATAGATAGAGAAGATGGAACAAGTTAACTTTATTTTCCAATTTAGTCCATTGGGTAATTTGATGTTTTTACTGCTAAATCTAATAATCTCTTTTGCTCGCTGCTTAATGTTTCATGTTGATTGCTCGATGCTGCAAATTTGATTTGCCATTTAATTAATTTGTCTTTACTTGCAGCAATAGCGAGCACAAATTAATTAGAGACCTATGATGTATGATGTTGCCATTTTGTATTTGTCTATATTTACAGCAGATTTACAGAATTGTCTTTGGGCATTTGATTCAATTCAACCAGAGTCATGATCGATCGATCGGAACCAATATATCATATAATCGATTACCGATATTGATCAAACATTGTGAATCAGATATTGTGAATCAAATGTTGTGAATCAAACATTGCACCTATAGCACACATCGAACAATAAAGACGACGACAACAACAAAGGCTGTTTGTGTTGTTGTTTGTCGATTTGAAAAGCAAGTTTTCTTTCTCAATTTCGGCAATGGGAAAGCGTTTTTCTTTCGAGCATAAAGAAAGAAAAGTTTGGGTAAATATTTGAACCCGAAAACGAGAAAATGATCAAAATGAATGGGCCCATGGAGATATATCACACTAGATAATATTCGCTTTTGTCAAATGGAAAAAAGTGTCAAAAAAGAAAGAAACAACTATATGTTCCAAGTTGTTGACTCGATTGTTGTTGTTGTTGTTTGGTTGTTGTCCGTTGTTGTTATTCAATCATAATCATGGTGGATCGAGCGCGCGCACATTTTCCGTTCTCCTTTTTCAAATACATGGCTATTCGGGCGATTAATTGTGTCTATAATAGACTGTGTCGATAGTTTACAATCACAATCACAATAGAATAGGGCCAATCACAATGAATGAATGAGTCTAATCGATTTCAGATCAATCAGCGACGGAAAAGGGGATTGTTGTTTTTCTGAATCACCAATGACCAAGAATGTAGCCAAATTATCACAAGTAATGAGAAAATTATGCTGAATCGATCGGTAAGTGAATAATTCAATTTGGACCGTTGACAGCTACAAATATTTGGCTGTATGAATGTCGCCCACGGGTCTGCATAAACCATCAATTTGGTGGTGGTGGTGGTGGGAAACAGCTTCAGGGCCATGATTCGGCGCAACCAATTCCCATTCCATTGACGATGATGATGCAATTTAAATTTAATTAACAAGCTAATAATAAAATGATTTGCCAATCATCAAATTGAATAAAGTTTTCTGCCAAGTGCTTGGTTCTCTCGATTCCATTCCATTCCATTCAACGATAATGGCACATTGCTCTCCTGTATTCTTTGTGTGTGTGTGTGTGTCGTTGTTTCGTTGTTTCGTTGTTTCGTTGATATTTGATTTGATTTTCAAGCTTGCCAATAAGACCATTGTGTGTGTGTGTGTGTGTGTGTGTGTGTGTGGATGTGGATGTGGATGTGGATGTATGAATGTGAGTGGCTGCATCAAGTTGAGTAAATATTTGACTAATATTTGTCGCCATTGCCAATGGTCGATTGCAAGCTAATAATGGGCATTCTGTGTGTTGTTGGATGAAATCTTGGATCAGACTCGATATTGCCGGATACTAATTCATTCACACACGAATGGTTGGATCGAAACAAACAGCTATATAATTTGTGTGTATGGCTAGGTTGAATGAATGGAATGAATGAAACAATTTTGAATTTCAATTAAACTTGAATTAAGGAAATTCAAATGATGATGATTCAGTGAACAAACTCGACACTCGTCATTTCATGAATGTGTGTGAGTGAGTGTGTGTGGCAATTGTTTAAATGAATTGTCGCGAAACATCTTATCTTATCTAATAAATATAAATATCTCTTATATTGAATTCAATCGAGAAAAGCTCCATGATCCGGAATGTAAACAACGATGAAGCGAAAATCAGCTGACACTTTTTATTATTTTTTATCATGTTAACCATTTCGCCATTTTAAATAACGACAACGTTTCCTGTCCATGTTGTTGTCAAGCAGCATCATCGAATCATTTAATCATTGCGATGACGATGAACAAAGGTTGCTTCTCTGCAGCAAATAAACAATTATTCACTCAGCCAGAAAAATGGAATTGAATGACAATGAATCTGCGAGTCTAGTCGAGTCGAGTGTATGATTTGTTGTTGAGCATTTAATAATCATTTTGCAAAAGCAAATCTAAATTTGATTTGATTTCACAACTCACCATTTTATTTTTTCAATTTAATTTGCACTACACGCTAAGATCTTTGCCATTGTCTTGCTCGGTTTGTTGTTTGTTGTTGTTGTTGTTTGCCCATCCATTTATCCAGTGTGTTGGCAATGAATTTAATTTTCTCTGATGATTCAAAGCACATACAAATTGAATTGTTGGATGCCTAAAGGATGAAATGAAAATCACAGTAAACATGCTCATGATGATTGATTGATTGTCTGTTTATTCAATTTGATCAATCATCGAGGTAAAGCGTGTTTGACCCTTCGATTATTATGGCCAAAGGCAAATTGCAGAAAGAAATAAAAGTGACGCATTGTGTGTTGTTCATGTGCATAATAATATGATTTATTATTCAGTTCATAGTTTTGTACAGTCAATGAATGAATGAATGAATCGTTTAAAGGTTATCGCTGATCATCGTGTAGCAATTGAATTTCTTTGAGATAAGTTTCCCATTGTTGTAGCCGATCACTATGACTATGAATACTATGATTACCTTCATCACCATTGGCCAATAAGTAGGCGGCAGCCGTTGGCCAACGGAATAGGTGTTGTTGCAGATAATTGGACAATAGTGAGGATGAGGATGATGGTGGGGGGGTTGCTGCAACAGGAAAGTGTGATGGTGGTGAACCAGCCAATGACCAATGTAGTGGACTGATGTAATTTGAGATGGCCATCATGGGCATAGGTGTTGCCATTTTCGGGTTGCTCAATGGTGGTGGCGGCATCTTTGACCTGTCCATGGACGATGACGCGTTTGTAGACGAAGTGGACGATGATGATGATGATGATGATGACGAGGAGGATGAAAAAGCCAAATGTCCAAATGGTTTGGGTGATTTGGCCATTGATGATTGTCCGATGTCATGTGATACAGTCGGTGGTTGTTGTTTTCCGTGTTGATCATTGTCACTGATTAGTTTGTTGCCGCCATCATTGTTTGTCATCATCATCATCATCATCGGCATTGGCATTGGCATCGGGCTTGTCGATTCATTACGACCCGATTTCTCACGCTTTCGCCATTTCGCTCTAGTGTTTATTGTTTATTGTTTATTGTGAATTGTGAAAATAAATAAATTGGAGAAAAAAATTACAGAATGAAATTTGGGAAATTGGCAATCGGGGAAAAGAACACCTACCTTCGGTTCTGGAACCAGACCTGCACAAACATTCATTCGGGAGAGTGGAATTTGTTTTTTTTTTTTTTTTTTTTTTTTTGAAAACAGAGAAAAATAATGAAAAAAAATCAAACGATGGAAAATTGACAAGCTAATTTAATACAAAATTGATCATGAATAAGGCGATTGACAAAACAAGTTCAATCAATCAATTTTGTAAACAACAACAACAACAACAACAACGAAAATAAAAACAATGAAAAAAACAATGACAAACTTTAATGAGAATTGTGCGATTGTACGACTCTCTGGAGGAATGAATACTAAGCCACACTATTAGAAATGATCATGGTTCTCTCTCATGGGAGCCAACTAAAAGTGAATTAAGATTCTCTACTCTGTATACCACCATACAGTCAACAAACAAACTAATTATGGCAAATTCTTGAATCGAATTAATTTGTTGATCAAAAACATTTGATTCGATTCAAAAGAGGAATCGGATTAGCCAAGTAATGAATCAATTTGTTTTTTATTCACACAATCAATATAGTCACGTAATCCTCATCCTCATCCTCCTCATAAATTCAGATTCAATTTGTTCATTTCTCACTCTCTCGTCTATGTGTCCGTGTGATGCTTACCTGAATTCTGGCTTCGCTTAGATCCAATCTCATGGCCAATTCTTCGCGTGTAAAGACGTCCGGGTATTGAGTCTTTTCGAAAGCTCGTTCCAATTGATGCAATTGATATGTGGTGAATGTGGTACGGCTACGACGAACTTTGCGTCGACTTGAACGCATCGATTCAAGCGATAAAATATCATCTGCATCATCGTCCATCAGAGCCAATGATATGGCTTCTCGATCATCAACTGTGTCTGATCCGGTTTCACTATCGGACATTTGATCATTCGTTTTGAGAATCTGATCAATCAAAAATAACGACGACGACGATGATGGTGTGTGTTTTTCTGTTGGTTTTGTTTGTCACAGGCTTTGATTCATTGTTCATGTGATAATTGATTGTCGATTGATGATTGTCAATCTTGGTGGCTGAATCATAACCATAGGGTGATATCATGGTGGCCATTATATCGCTCACTGCTGTTGTTGAGGATTGCAATTCCTTCACATTTGGTGACATCATTTCATTAAGAGCTTGCCGTTTCTCACAGATGAAAAAAAAATTAATTTCCGTTTCAAGAGTCGAAATTTTTAAATTTTAATTCAACCGATTCAAATCAATCATCATCATCACAGTAAAATGCACATGAACGTTGTTGTTGTTTTTATTGCTGTCGTAAGGAGACTGTAATGTTTGTGTTTGAGGAACGTGTTTCAATTCTGCAAACAGAATCGTCGACGGGAATGTTTTTTGATAGCAGTATGCGCACCTAGACACATGGAACACACGTATGGAAAATGTGTAGTGAGTATGTTACACATTACCGACCGACATAACTATTTCGGTTGGTGTGTTGTGGGATAATAAACTTGTCATTGATTCAATTATTGTTTATTGTTGATGAATGATTGTCCCGAATCGTTGGAAAGGTGTTATATTGACAACAGCAGCAACAAACTCTAAACAAAAATTGATTCACAATGGCCAAATATACTCGCCCATTCTAGCTAATTTTGACGATTGATTAAGGTGGAGCTCTGCATACCGTCCAAGTTGGTTAATAAAATCAATTCAACACACCGACTAATAGGCCAGGCCTTGTTATAATCTTTCTCATTGCAATTCAATTTCAATCAATCCATCTGAATGATCTGTATGTGTGAGCGAAATTCACGACGCGACAAATTGCACTTAACTTGTGACTAAAATATCGGGTAATTTTCTCTCTATCTAGGAGGATTATCAGTGAATAATAATGGAGCGAGAATGAGAGAGAGAGAGAGAGAGAGAGAGAGACAGGTCATTATCATGCTAATAGAATGAATTTGTGACCAGCCATTCTCTACACTCTAATCTCTTGCTCTCCACATGGGGTTAATCTGTGTCCATGTCTATGTAGATGTAGATGTTGTAATTGTAATGATAATTAATAAGCAATTATTCAATCATTGTAGCAATATTCGTGGCTGTCAGATTTTGTCTCCATCACTCAGACAGTGGAGATTATCCCAGTAAATATCTGTTGGACAGTCTGAGTCTGGCAAATCAATTTATGTTTTCACTCAAACTGGATTATTACAATGATTGTTATTGTTTTTATCATGATGGCCATCGGAAAACTTGTTCATTACAAAACTGACCAGGTGTGTAACTGTGCGAATGCTGCACACGAATTTTTCATACGACCCAATGGTCAAAATCAATCAAACAGCTCAATTGTGAATGAATGGTGGGCAAAACAACATTCAATCACGAATGTAAATCATTTCAATTTGAAAAAATAATGAATGAAAACATTGAATTACACGTGCATACAATTCGCCGATGATCGAGATGGAGATTCAATGAATCAGAACAAATTTGCAATCTATTCGATGGTGATGGATCCATTATCAATGTTGGCAACAAAATTGTGCATTTTGGGAACAAGCCAGAAAGTCTATGAGCCACTCGAAATGAACTCTGTTTTCAATCAACCAACCAACCAACCAACCGACTGACTGACTGACTGAGTATGTATATAAATCACTTTTTAGTTCAAGATTTCAAAATATATTAAAGACCAATTTGAGAAGAGGCGCCACAGCCATTATTTTGGAACGGGGAGAATTATTGATTGGTGATCGACTGTTCCATTCATTCATTGATTCGTTGATTGATTCACGCTAGATTAAAGCCAATCAGCAGCCAGTTTATTGCATTGCATTTGTCATTCAAACAATGTTTAGGGATTAAAACTTTTCGACTTGAGTGGATTGATCGCTTGTAATTTTTTTACAGGGATAAAGAGAGCCAAATAGAACCAAATCAGTCATATGTTTCAATCACTAGATTTACATTTTGGCCAATTATTAGGATCATCGATGACGATTGGACCAAGTATGTGTGACGAGTGCATTAGATTGAGATTGCATTGTGTGTATGTTTAGTTAACCGTAAAAATAACAATTGGATAGTGAGGCAGAGAGAGAGAATTGCATTTCCATTATAGCCATAGTGTTCACAATTGAATCAATGAATGAGTGAATGAATGGGATCAGCTTACAAATCACAATTCGAAACGAAACGAATTCAATTTGTCACTGCTGTGGGAAAGTATTAGCGAGCATATTATTTACCGTACATGCTTATTATCATGGAAAACGGTCCAAATTGGTCATTTATTCACCGATTCGATTCGATTGGATGCAACCAGATAGTAAAGAATAGCAAAATTGAATTGAATGGATGAACCAACGGATAATTAGCAATTAGTAAACATGACGAAAGGATTAAAGGTTGCCAATATTGAATTACCAATAATCAATGCTCATCAATGTCGTTTAAACAGGAATATCAACGATGAAATTAGGCCCAACAGGCCCACGTTGATTGGAGAGAGTTGTATCTTTCGTAATGAATGTAAACATAAACAGATATCACAGAGATTTTTGGCCACTTGCAACGATAATACTTTGTTCATCATAATCAAATTCATTAGGTCTTGTTGCTGTTGGCCATATCGTTCACGATTATTGTGTATCAATTTCAATTGGTAAACATTCTTGACAGCAGCCAGTGCCGATGAATAGAGCAGATATGATTGAGCAAGTTGAACGAATCGCTCTTCATTGCAACGAATAGCTCCGATTCTGGACAGCCAATCAATGTTGTCACACAGCAGATAAAGGCCGTACGATATTCGCGACAAAGACAGTGTTGTACACATCATGTTGTTCTGCAAACGCATCGAATGAATGGACAGATTGAATGCTTCGCTGAATTTGCCGAATCGTAAAGCTAAGTTGTTCATCATCATTTAGTCACAGTTTTCATTTTGATTCAAAATCTTACCTTGTCTTGATAAAGCCATCATTGTTTCGATTTGTTTCAATCGCAATACTGTTTCGGGATTATTGGCCATTTTATCCTGGACGGCCCACAATAAATGCGAGACATATTGCACGATCCTAACAAAAATGAACACAATTGCCAATGGGTTCTGATATGATATTGATTGGAAATGTAAACTTACCGGAAAATCCTCTCACGATCATCATTGTAGATGTTGAATTTCATTACCGAATCCATTCTTTCGTATCTGCTCAATTTTTGATGTTGATGAATTAAACCCAATGACACTCGGATGAACCGGTGCAGTAGAAATAGTCGGTTCTCGCACACGTGTTTTACGTTTGAAATACACATATGTTTTCAATCATCATCAACATCATCAACATTGATTGATCAAAATGAGATTTTCTTACAAGTTCAACAATGTTCTCGGTTCAGTCTACGATCACGGCAATCTACAGTTTTTTCCGGATGGCAACTGTTTACTCAGTCCTTGCGGCAATAAACTTATCGTTTACGATCTGAAAAATGGTAAATGTCAAGCGTTGCCATTCGAAATCCAATTCAACATTTGCCACATAGCTCTCAGTCCAGACGCTTCGATTCTGTTGATAGTGACGGAAAGAATCAGGTGATGATTGCATCATTGCTAGGCAATGTCATACTACATCGAAAAGATTTCAAACACATCGGTGACCGAATCAATGATGTGCAATTCTCTCCGGATGGTAAATATTTTGCCATCTGTGGTTCGAGCAAAGTGCTCGTCTACCTGACACCCGGATACATTGGCCAAGGCAAAGGACGCCAATTGTCTGGATTTAAAATTCACAAAATGATTCAGCCAGGACACGAAGAATCGGTATCGGTCGCTTGGAACCATACATCACAATTATTGTTGATCACAAGCAAAGATTATTCAATGCGAATCTATCCGATTGATCGAAAAATCAGTGCATTCGGTGATCACATCACACTCACTGCTCATAATGATCTGATAATTGGTGCATTCTTCTCTAAAAGCAAGCCAAATCCATTGAACATGTACAGCATTAGTCGAAATGGTCAGTTATTCGTGTGGGATTGTAGTTGGACAGAAATCGATAATGATACAGCGGCCGATAAATTGAATTATAGAATAGTCCAAAAGAAGTATTTGTTTGAAGATTTAAAGGAGAAAAACTCCGGCACTCGAATCACAGCTTATGGCTATGAACCGAAAGCACGTCTCATGGTTGTCGGATACAATGATGGCCGATTCATGTTGTACGATCTGGCCGATATGATTCTCATACACTCGCTGCAGTTGTCGAACAAAACGCCCATTTCGACCGTATCGTTCAATGGCAATGGAGCTTGGATCGCTTTGGGCACTTGTCCTGGTTCCGGTAATAAATATGACTTGGATAACGAGGTTTCAACTCAAACACAATTGATTGTTTGGGAATGGCAATCTGAATCGTTCATTCTGAAACAAAGTGGCTATTCGAATAGTGTGACCAATTCGTATGAATGTGTGGCATATTCACCTGATGCTTCGTTACTCATCACGGGCGGTACTGATGGTCGTCTCAAAGTTTGGAATCTTTTCACTGGATTCTGTGTGTCAATGTTTACTAGCGAGCACAAAGGACCGATTACCGGGGTCGAATTTGTTCCGGGCAAGGATGGCAAAGTTTTCGTCACCTGTTCGTTGGATGGAACCGTCAAGGCATTCGATCTGAACCGATATCGTTGTTTTCGAACATTAGCTGCACCGAGCGATTCGAAACCAGCTCAATTCATATCGTTGGCCGTCGACAAAATTGGCGGTGATTTCATAGCGGCTGGTTCACACAATTTTTTCGAAATATTTCTCTGGTCACTCAAAACGGGCAGACTATTAGAAATGCTATCAGGTATATACATACATGTTCTGCAAATGTTGATTCATATATTTGAACCCTACTTTCTTTCCAAAAACGTAGGTCACGAGGCACCTGTTTCATCTGTAAAATTTTCGCCCAATTCAAACACATTGTATTCTTGTTCATGGGATTGTACGGTGAGAATATGGAACCTGTTTGAAGGTGCCAAACATACGAGAGAAGTAATCAAACTTGGTAGTGATGCCCTTTGGCTGGATATCCGCGAAGATGGCCACGAATTTGCTGTGGCCACATTGAATGGAACCATATCGTTTTATGACGCTCAATCTGGCGATCAATTGGGCATCGGTATCGAACAAGGCAAACAAGATCTTGGCCGATCACGGTACAGGGGTGAACAAGTGGATGACAAATATAAATACTTTTCAACGTTTGCATATTCTGTCGATGGCCAATATGTGATTGCCGCCGGTCGTTCGAAATATGTTTGCATCTACAATGTCAAGCAGAAACTGCTCGTAAAACGATTCGAAATTTCTAACAATCTATCGCTCGATGGATTCGCCGAATTCATCAGCAAACGAAAAATGCAGGAATTCGGATTCGATATTGATCGGATCAAACATCGGGATGATGAGTCAAGCTTTGCTCCGGTTGCTTTGCCCGGAGTGATCAAAAGTGATTATGCTGACCGACAGCTGATGCCAATCATTGCCGTTATGCAGATTCGATTCTCACCAACGATGCGTTCGTTTGCTTTGGCTTCCACTGAAGGTGTTCTCCATTATTCTGTGGACAATACCACATCGTTCAATCCATATGAATTGGATACGTCTGTTACGATTGAATCGTATCGAGAGAATCTGAACAACAAACAATACGCTCAATCATTGATCCAGGCACTCAAATTCAACGATTGGAATCTCATTCAAGAGTCACTGGAAAACATTCCAGCTGATCAGATAGGACTGATCACATCCACATTATCGTTAGCAATGGTCGACAAACTGCTCGGCCATCTGGACAAAGGATTTGAAAAGACGGGTCATTTTGAATTCTATCTTCGGTGGGTGGAATCACTACTTACCCAGAATGCATGTGCCATGAAAAGTTGTCTATCCACCGAACAAACAACGGCATTGCGACGACTGCATCAAACATTGAAAAGCAAACATCAAGACCTCTCCAGAATCGTTGAATTCACCAAATATAACTGTAAATTCATGGCCATCATGGCTAAACATGCTCATCAGCAACCAATGATTGCTGATGACGATAATCAGATGGATGTTGATTTATGATTTATGATTAATGGTTTTTTTCATCTTTTTTTCAATAAATTGAAATTCATCACCATTCTTTCATTTATATTTTACTAATTGTTTTACGTAGTCTATGAACGGTGCTATAAACACATGATTCTGTTCTCAGCGCTGTTTACAGCTGGTTTTAGACGATTGTTGTTGGATGTTGTTGTGTGACCATGGTGGATGGACTTCGGTTTGCAGTCGTTTGTTCCTCGAATCAGAATCGATCGATGGAAGCACATGCCGTGCTCAGGTATGACAATGATTTAGTAGATTGCGACCATTTTAACGATCATTGATTAATTTATAAAGCAAAAAGGGTTTCAATGTCCGTTCATTTGGGTCGGGAAACCAGGTAAAACTGCCTGGTCCAGCACAGGACAAACCGAACGTCTATGACTTTGGTACACCGTACGAACACATGTACAATGATCTGCTGAATAAAGACAAGAATCTTTACACACAAAATGGAATCCTACACATGCTCGACCGGAATCGGCGCATCAAATTGCACCCGGAAAAGTTTCAAACTTGTCGTGATAAATTCGATGTCATCTTTACCTGTGAGGAACGAGTTTACGACCAAGTGGTCGAAGGTAAGTGTTGAAATTTTGATCCTTTAATACTTTACTGCTATTATTGATCACATTGATTTTAGAGATGAACTCACGATCGCCGCTTGATTACAGCACGGTTCACATCATCAACATTGACGTTCAGGACAATCACGAAGAGGCAACCATAGGGGCTCTGTTGATGCTCAAGATGGCTCAGTCGCTGGCCCAATCCAAAGATCTCGACAATGACATTGACGAATTGCTACAGGAATTCGAAACGACCATCAATCGGCCGTTGCTTCACACGATAGCATTCCAATGATGCCGTATATATGGGGTATATTTTTTATTGTACATTGTACACTGAGACATGGTGTGATAAAATAAAGAAAGAACAGACAAAGACAAAAAGCACTTTTTACATTCATCAGTTATCCAGATGGCTATACACACGTCGTAGCTTTTGCTTCCGATTGCGTTTGTGTTGATGATTTTTCCATGGTTTGGCTGGTTGGTTATCCGGTGCATTGCTGTGCTTACTGTCTTTGACGTGAACTCCCGACGTACTAGTGTGGCTAAAGAACTCCTGATCGAAATCTTGTCTAGTGAGTAGATTATTGCCTTCGTAAACTCGTTGCAATTTCCGGTCTGCAATCTGTTGTCGTCCACGATTCACGATTCGATCTGGTACTGCAAACCGATGATATTGCTTTTGGTCCACGTTGGGTGGTGCATAGCAATACAGGATTCGTCCTTGGACGAAATCTTTGAGAATGTATTTTGCCGCTTTCGATGTGTCGGGTAGACCACGTTGTGTCATGAAACCACGGCTATAACCATACACCGTGAGTAGCTCCAATGATGAAACGTGCTCGTCAACAGAATCCTCACTGTTTTCAGTGGTGTTGGTTTTTTTCAACAGAATCATCGCATAAATGGACTCAAAGACAGCTGCTGGAACTTTGCTGGTGATGGCTTCGATGGCCAAAAACACGTTTTTGATCTGATCGATTGGCAGAATGCCGTTGATGATCAGTTCGGCTTTGTTCGACACAAGATTCGGCAAAACAAGTCCTGGACAATCACAGATTGTGAGTTGGTCGTCGATAATGATTGTTTGAAAGTGTTTTGTCTTGCCGGGAGTTGCCGATACGGATACTTTTTTCGCTTTCATAATCAGCGCATTTATGGTGCTCGATTTGCCGACGTTTGGAAAGCCAACCAGGCCGACGGTCAAGGGGCGTTTATCCGTTCGATACGATTTCAACAACGAAATGAGCTGTCGATAGTCCAACGACAATGTTCGATCACGATCTTTCAATTGCAATTGGTCCATTTGGACAGAGGAGATATCTTGTTTTTCATTCGAATCGGGTTGTTCCTGTTGTTGTTGTTGTTCGAGAGCCGAGAAAAACAGACACTGGATGTCCATTGAATCGAAATGATCTAACCAGTGCTGACGCTGTTCACGGTTCAGATAATCGGCCTTGTTCAGCAGGATCAGACTGCGTTTGTCGGGATCCACCTCGCCAATGTACTTGTCTAGGTCAGCAGAATAGAACAGCAGTGGGTTGCGAGCATCCAGTATCTGAACAAGTACGTCACTTCGTTCGATCACACGCCACAGTTGACGCCAGAATTCCAGATTCTTTTCAAACGGTGTGAGCACAACATCGGTTGTCTCCTGAATGTGAGCCAGATGACGACGCCATTTCAGGTAATTCTCATTCTCCAACTCTTTTAATCGTTGCGGTGAATCGACTTGGTCTAGTTGCGGGCGTCTCGGAATGAGCAACTGGTCACGGAAATCTTCATCAGATGATGCAGCCGTTCTACCGTCATTAGTGTCCACGATTCGGATGTTTGTTTCCTGTTCGGCAGTGAATTGCTTGTTGGCCAATCGGGTTTGAGCCAGAAAGTCGTCCAAAGAAGTGTTTTCGGTGACGCTTTTTTCGACGATCAGTTCATCATGGCTGTGACGCTGTGAATAATTTTTTTACAACAACAATATGATTTGTTTAAGTTACAGGTTGATCGTCTTACCTCACTCAGAGGGCCAGATGTCGATTGATTACGTTGACTTTTGATCAACGATCGTCCCAACGAAAGGTTGGCCTGACTTTTAACCATTGTTATGTTGTTGTAAGTTGGATTTTATGAAATTTCATTGAAAAGTTATCAACAATCCAACAAGAAAAACAAAACAAGCGTGCAAAGACTGACTAGATTGCCATCTAGGGGCAATGACAAAGAAACAAACGAAAAAAATGTATCAATTTGAATGTATCCTATTTATTTTTATTTTATTCACAACTGTTGATTGAGTCAAGTTGCGTTTTCATCATCATCATCATTTATTTAATTATTAATTTAATCATAACAATCATTCATTGATTTATTTATTATGAACGAACGTATGAATGGACAAACTAAAGATTGGATCCTGGACAGTGGATATGAAGAATTATTATTTATAACACATCATCCTCATCATCTAGTGGGTGATTCAAGCTTTGCTGATGAATTGGTTGCATTTGTCTTGCATCTCATCTACGTATGAAAATGGAAAATGATAAAGTGAAAAAGAATACTCATCAACGACAACAACAAGCTCACCTGGACTGGCGCCCAAACACTTTCCCCATTCGACAAGAGTGATTTTGTGATCGTCGTTGGCATCGCAGCCATCCAAAAAGTCAGATATGCAACTTTCCATCGATAGCAATGGTGCACGTAATGGAAACAATTCATGTCGTGATACGTACCGATCGTGTGGTTCTTTGTCCAGATCGCAGAATTTCCAGATGATCGCGTCGATCCATTTGTGTTCCATATCCTGTTTAGAATTGGTCACCTCTACCCTAGATAAACTGATGATGCTGTCGAGCCAATCCCGCATTCGACGAGGAAAGTCTTCGAGAACTTCGTCTCTACATGGTTCGATGTCCTTGCATTCTCCATAATAGTCGATATGCATGTGTTTGTGTTCATACGTGCAGTACTTTGAATCGACTGCGTTCACTTGTTCAAGACAATCGCAACGATGTTTCATGAGATGGCAATCTGATTGCCATGTTTCGTTGTAGTTGGAACAGACACGACGTCGAAGGTCATCGTTTTGTGGACACTCTCTGATACAGATGCAATTGGCCTCGTTGTTCTCGTAATCGACAAAGCATTCCTGTCCGAAGCCGCATTTGATTGATAAGCATGGATCTTCGGTAGTCACTGTGGCCAATCGAATCGAATCGAATGTGTGTGTGCATGAGAAAAGTTTCATAATCATATATATAGAGATAGTCAACTCACCTGCATTTGGTTTGTCCGATTCTTGACCAGTGATTGCACCACCACATTCGATGCTGGCCACTACTACCAAGAGCAACAAGGCCCCGCATTTGATCCATTCATTGTTGCAATACATTTTTGGCTGAAAAGAAATTGGCTTTTAACAAAGATTCGATTCGATCGATACCAGTTTTCGGAAATAAATGACTGGGCAGACAAGCCGAACACTGGTGCAGCATGGAGACACACCCATCCATGTCTATAAATATAATCACAACACGAACATACAGTGTTGTTGTATGATAAACATGTGAACATCATTTACAGAAAGCAGTGATGGCGAAAATTATCTGCTTAGTTGGCAATAAAGTCAGATAATCTAAACAAACCAACATCATGTATGAATGTGAGTGTGTGTGTGAGGATAAAATTGGTTTGTTTACATATTCACGAAGGAAATGCTTGGGCGTCATGAGCAAACTAGGCCAATCATTTATCATACCGCCTAGTGGGAATTTCCAACTATACGGTCGTTTATTTATTCAAGAAAATACGGAATGAAAAGTCAAAAGATACACATACACAGAGAAAGAGAGAGAGATGATACATGGACATTGTGAGAATAGAATGTTTAGACTGGGCAGATGGTGACATTGATGCCGAGATTACCGTTTTCCGAGAATCTCTGGGCCAATGTCGTATCAAACACTAGACAGTCGTTTGTGTTGATGGCCGTTTGGACACCGTCGTGGATAGATTTGGGTGTTGCTTCCCAGACCAATCGCCGTTTATGACCAGACAACTCTAACCGGTAAATGAAATTCTCGGCCTGCTTTTCAGATCCGATGATTTGGACGACAGCGTAAAACTGCTGCCGGCCATTCTTTTCCTGTTTTTCGAGCACCAACATGAAATGGTGTGAGAAACATGACTGAATCATCACCCAATCGACTGCACCGCTAAGATTGATGTCCGTGGCCAAAAAGACAATGTCTTCACCTTCCAACGTCGTGATGCTTTTGTGTTGTGACATGAGATGCGGCATCACCTGATCTATTGGGCCTTGCCACTTGCAACTGGTTCCTGGAATATGGCAAACAATCGATGAGTGAATGAATGAATCAATGAGGAGTGCATAGGATCACCTACCTGGACATGGACATATGTACGGTTTATGAGTACAGGCTTCCTCGTGGCCTGGTTTATCTTGGTAAAGGAGCTGAGTTTTGCAGCCAAGAATCGAGTATTTACAAGGAAAATAGACGCTCGAAGCCACTTTTTCCATCTGCAGATTTCGGATATTCGACGTGATCTGGACTCGACACGTCGGACATGTGGTTATCATTTTGCGACAGGTCTGGCAAACGAGATGGCCATTCTGACATTGCAAAATTGGAGGTAAAATGTATTCGAAACAAACGGGACATTCAAACAGTGAGGCCAACTCGGAATTTGATTTTTTGCCAAACAGACTTGAATCCATTTATGTCCGTTTGGTGGATTAATTTTGGTCAAGTATTAAGTATTAAATAATCAATCAAATCAATTAGACAATATACACACGAAACACGAACAACAAGTGAACCAACAACAACAACAACAACGATAACGACAACTTGCTCTTGTGTTGTAATGAAAAAAAAAAGTTAATGACATATTGAGCTCATCGAACAATAGCAGCAATGTTATTTTTGGAATTCAAGAGATGGCGCTTTATTCAGAATCGAATGTTGAATCCTTTTTTCGAACTTGGAACGTTCATATGGAATCCTGATGATTGGGGCTGATCCACCACCTTGTTCGATGACTTGCTATTGGGTATCAGTCGATCTTCATCTGCGTCTAGTTGGTTGCGTTGGAATTGTTTTCCACCACTGGGTGCTTTTGGACTTTGTGCTTTACGATGATGTTGACAGCCTTCCGATTTAGCTGGCCAAGTGGGAAACATTGCCGGATCAACAGGCAATGGTGATTCTGTGAAGAACTCATGTCGTAAAGCTTCGTCGGCGGTGATACGACGTTCCGGACAATAGGTGAGGAAACGGTTAATGAGATCGAAGCCAGATTTGCCCAATTTATGTCCGATTCGGTTATGCAGGCTATTGTATGGAAATTCGATGAACGTCATTTTTTTCACCAATGCTAATTCAGAATAACCGGGCCATATCTTTTCGTTGGGAGTGCCCAACTCTTTGAAAATGATGTTGAGTTGATCGATTTCAGACTTGCCCTGGAATAACGGTCGCATGGTGACAAATTCGCCAAATATGCAGCCAACTGACCAGTTGTCAATCGGAAAGGAATACTGTGGTGCTTGCAGCAGCAATTCTGGAGCTCGATACCACAAAGTGACTACAATCGAAGTGTATTCTTTCAAAGGCGAGCCATATTCGCGAGCCAAGCCGAAATCGCCAATCTGTAAATCGTGTGTGTTGTGAATTAGTCAGATTAATTAATAATAATAATAAATCAGATAATCATTACTTGCCTTGAGAACACCTTTGTGACTGAGCAACAGATTCGAAGTCTTGAGATCACGGTGAAGAATCCAATTGTCGTGAAGATGTGCCACAGCTCGCAACAATTGCAACATGAGCGTTTTAACTTCGCCCAACAGAAAAGGCTTTTTCATCGTCTCCATCAGACTTTTGAGATCGTGTTCCACAAAGTCCATGACCAGATAGATTTTGTCCATGTTGCTGCCGACGACAATCTCACGAACGGTGACAATGTTTTCGTGTTTCACCTTTAACAGACTGCTGATTTCCCGCAACGATGTGATGGGAAATCCTTCTTTTTCCTTTTCCATCTTGAGCCGTTTCAAAGCGACCGTTTCACCTGTTCGTTTATCTTTGGCACGATACACAACGCCATAGGTACCTTCTTCAACGCGGTTAATACAATGGAATTCTTCTACGCTTCGACATCCGTGGATGCCCGGGTAATATGGCGGTAATTGGTCAATGTTGTCGATCATGATCATATTGGTTCACAACACCATGTGTTCATCAATTAACAACAATAACAACATCATTCACTGATAATGGCCGTCATCAGATGGCAGCAGTGCTATCTTTGCAGGCGCGGTTCGACAATTGCACTCTGCAAAAGATGAACTATTTGGACAGACAGACAGAGTTGGTTGTTTTTTTTTTTATTGACAATTGTTGTTCGTGATTGTTGATGTTGATCCATTAATTGTATCGATTTCCTTTGCTCATCATCGCCAAACGTCATGGTAAGTTTGATTTAAAGTTTAATATGATGTTGATTTTACTTGATTTCGCACTCACACACACACACACACACAGACGGACAAACAATTGGATCATGCACTGGATTTGATGCGTCGTTTGCCGCCTCAACAGATCGAACGTAACCTCGGTCATTTGCTCGATCTGGTAAATAGTGTAGATTTGAACGGTTCCATTTGACTAATATCATCATTATAAAAAAATTAGGTACCCGACCTATGTGAAGATTTACTATCGTCGGTGGACCAGCCGTTAAAGGTGGCTCGAGATAAACAATCGGGCAAGGAATATCTTCTCTGTGATTACAACCGAGATGGCGATTCTTACAGGTGAGTAGTTGGTGGTAGATGATTTATGCTTTATTATTGATTATTGATAGGTCTCCATGGAGCAATCAATACGATCCACCGCTCGACGATGGCAACGTGCCATCGGAAAAACTACGTCAGTTGGAGATTGATGCCAACCATGCGTTTCATTTGTATCGGGAGATGTATTTCGAAGGAGGCGTTTCTTCCGTCTATTTCTGGGATCTGGATCACGGTTTCGCCGGCGTCATTCTCATCAAGAAAGTGGGCGATGGCTCCAAGAAGATCAAAGGCTGTTGGGATTCGATTCACGTGGTCGAAGTGCAAGAGAAATCGGGTGGCCGTAACGCCCATTACAAACTCACTACGACGGTCATGCTCTGGCTCCAGACCAACAAACAGAGCTCCGGTACGATGAACCTGGGCGGCAGTCTGACACGACAAATCGAAGGCGACAGTGCTGTTACCGATGCTTTTTCGCACATAGCCAACATTGGCAAGATGGTCGAGGTAAGTTACAAAAAAAGGTGATGAAAAAAGAGTGTTTAACTTTTGCCGATTGGCCACAGGACATGGAGAACAAGATCCGTTCGACGCTCAATGAGATTTATTTTGGCAAGACGAACAACATCCTCAATGGTCTACGGTCGGTGAATTCGTTGATTGAGCTCAAAGCACAGGAAGCGGTCAAAACGGAACTGGCACAAGCGCTACAGAAACGGCAAAAGGAATAGTGTGTGTCCCCAAGATGTTCATGTTTTCTTTTTTCTTCTTTTTCTTTAATCGTGTATATTGTTCCAACTAATGATCGAATCACCGAAATGTAACACATGTGGATAAGATGATACAATGATACAATACAAGTTGAGAATTTTATTCAATTTTGATAATGTTGTAATGCGTAGTGGTTGGTTGTTTTTATATGCATGTAATAATAATAAAAATAAATCAATTTTTGAGAGAATAAAGCCAGACAGAATTTCAAATCTGGATCGTTGGATACGTACTTTATGAACAAAGCCATTTGAGCATTCAACGGTTGAATATATTCAGTTTGAATTTTGAGTTTCATTTGCAAAAATTTCAACCATCTAAATGATAAATGATTATGGAAACTGTAAATGAACTGCGCAAACTTCTTGACATGGATTTTCCCGAATCAGAATCAACAAAGGCCAAGGTCCGATTCCGATTGTTGGATGATAAAGTGACCAGACATCAGAATGTGGTCAAGATTGTACGAGATGATCCAAAGCCCAACCGAACAAACGAAAAACGACCCTTTCTTCGCAAAGGTGACGGATTGAAGCGGCGGTTTGGTATTGTCCACAAAACAAACAACAACAACAACAACAACGGCAGCAGCAACAACAACAACCTGGAAAAGATCATCAAGTCAACTGTTGACCAGGGAACAGATCCTATTTCGGTGATGGACAACAATGACGACTGCTCGACAAACATTGATTCGGAAGATTCGTTTATCGAAGATGCAAACGAACAGATTCGAATGTTGGAACATCGAATCGAGCAATTGTGTCGTTTGAAGGATGCTATCGTCGAAATTGTGGATGATTCAGTTTGGCCGGATGGAACGACGGTAGTCAAGTTTGCCAAGTAAGTTTTGCCATTTACTTTTGGCAATCTAATATTTATTGGAACATTTTTGTATATCGACAGTGGCCAAATGGAGCGCTTGTTGCCAAATGGCGACAAACATGTGACCTATCCGGATGGAATACAAGCCTGGATCAAACGCAGTGATCACAGCGAACAGATCCAATTGGTCGATGGTTCAACATACAGCTGTTACGCGAATGGCGTGCAAAAACGATGCTATCCAAACGGCGATATCGAAATCAAGACTAGCACTTATGTGGTATGTGTGTGATGAATGAATGAATGAATGAATGAATCAATAATCGATTGTTGCTTATGTTTTGTGTCTTGTCTTACATGTTTGCCGCTAATTGTTGACAGAAACGAAAGTTTGCCTCCGGAAAAGTAAAGACTGTGTATTCGAACGGTGTGCAAGAAATCCTCTACAATGACGGCCGTTTATTGTTCAAAGACGGTTGTGGCCAACTCATCGGAGAAAATCATCTCGGAATGAAATGAGCGACAACAACAACAAGTGTCTTTGTTTGATGACGAAAGGTTGAATGAACATGGAAAATGGTTCGATTGATAAGCAGCAACAAGTTGTAATTATGCACAACATATTGATAAACATGAGTGATTACATTTTTTTTTCTATAAAGGCCGACTCTGATTTGGAAAAGTGCATTTATGCAGCTTATCCAATGGTAATGAACGAACGAACCCTGCCATGAAGAGAAGAATGACGCAGCAACAAGTGAAAAAATCCCACATGACCAACGAATACGTGTCGCTCAATCAGAAGCTGATTGAGCGTAGCCAATCGCCAGAGGTGAGCTTCTTTTCCACCGAATTTTTCCCACCGAAAACATGGAAAGCTCTGGATAATCTGGTTCCATTGGTGGACAGTTTCCGCCAATTGGGTGCACTATTCTCTTCCATCACTTGGCATTCGAATGTGAACCACATGGAAAACATTGACGACATACTCAGCATACAAGTGGTCGACATTGCGCTCAATTATTGTTCGCTTGACACTATGATCCATCTGACCTGTGTGGGTATGACAGCCAACAAAATGCTGGCCATATTGGAACGACTGAAGCAGATTGGCATACGAAACATATTGGCTCTTCGTGGCGATCTAGAATCGGCCACCAGCAACACCGAAGATTTCCAGTATGCATCCGACTTGGTTCGTTTCATTCGCCATCACTATGGTGATTACTTTACCATCGCTGTTTCTGGATATCCGATCAAACACCCGGAATCGATAAACAAGCAGCAGGACCGAGAGTATCTGAAGAACAAGGTGAATGCTGGTGCCGATTTTATTATCACGCAACTCTTTTTCGAAGCGGATGTTTACTTTGCCTTTGTCGACGAGTGTCGTGCTATCGGAATCAACGTACCCATTCTGCCTGGTATCATGCCTATACAGAGCTACGATTCTTTGTCCAAGATTACACGTTTATCTCAGTTGGACATACCAGCCCAGCTCATCCAAGATTTGGAACCAATTCGCATGAATGACGAAGCTATCCGAAGCTATGGTATCGAATGGACCATTCACCTTTGTCGGCAATTGATGAAATCCGGCTTGACGCCAGGACTTCACTTTTACACACTGAATCGACAGTACGCAACAACCACCATTGTGAAAGCATTGGAAATCGGCTACACTTCCTGCCCACATAAGCCACTTCCCTGGCGACATGCGGCCAATCATCGCCGTTGTAGCGAAACTGTGCGGCCAATCTTTTGGTCATCGCGACCGAAAAGCTACATGCAACGAACCAACACCTGGGACGAATTTCCTAATGGCCGTTGGGGTCGAGTTCATTCGCCGGCATTTGGCTCATTGAACGAATACCATTTGTTTGCAGCATTGGACTCGATTACTGCCAAGAACCGGAAACGGTACAGAGCCATGTGGGGAGAAAAGTTGCACCATGAACGTGATGTGTGGCACATATTCGAATCATATGTGGCAGGCATCAACAATCGATTTGGCCATAAAGTCGAGTCATTGCCCTGGAATGACGAGCAACTGGCGCCAGAAACTGATGCACTTAGGCAGCAGTTGTCTTGTGTAAACAGAAACGGCATTCTCACCATCAACTCACAGCCAAACGTCAATGGAATCATTTCGAGCGATCCAGTTCATGGCTGGGGTTCTCCCAACGGCTACGTTTACCAGAAAGCATACGTTGAGTTTTTTGTTTCTGGCCACAGAATCGGTTCTCTGCTAGAGGTTTTGTCCCAGTATCCGCTGGTCAACTACCAGATCACCAACAACCAGGTGAGTTTCTTTATTTCTTTCATTGAACAACAATGAGAATGACATTTTTTTTCACAAACAGGGCGACTTGTTTTACACGAACCTCGATGAAGAGGAGCCGATAGCTGTCACATGGGGTGTGTTTCCTGGCAAAGAGATAATTCAGCCGACCATTGTGGATGTCGACAGTTTCAAAGTGTGGAAAGAGGAAGCGTTCAGTCTGTGGATGAACAAGTGGGCTTGCATCTATCCTGACGACGATGTTGTGTCACGTTCGGTTCTCACTTTGATCTGTGACACGTATTATCTGGTCAATCTGGTCGACAACGACTATCCGAACGATACCTGCCTGTGGTCGATTCTGGATAAACTGTAGCCACGACCAATGTACGAATTGAAAGTCACGCGAAAAAATTCGACTTTGAAATGAGCGCACACTTTGGACCTTGCATTATCAATTTGATTGGTTGATGATGATTGATTGATTGATTGGTTGATTGTTGGAGTGATTATTATTGTATGTGTGTGTGTGTGTGTGTGTGTGTGTGTAGTAATAATAAATTCGTTTGCTTCCTTTTGTTACTAAAAAGTAATTTGGGTCATTTGATTGGGTCATCCATTGGTGTATTGTATGTGTGTGTGTGTGTGTGTGTGTGTGTGGATACAAGGGATGTTGGAACCTAGCAACCAATTTCTTGTCACGCTGGTAAAATGGCTGCATCGCCAAGTGTTGAGTAAATGCATTGATGCTAAATGGTTATGATATCTAATCATAAATTAAAAGCGAGAGAGAGAGAGAGGGAGTGTGTGCGTGTTTTGTTGTTTATTCAAACGCTTCGATACGGAGAAGCAATCCGATGTAATCGAATAATGATGTCATGTGTTATACTGGTTGGTCAATATCATCAATTAGTTGGAGATGAGCTTTCCAATCGACCAGTAGTAGTGCTCGTGCATCATCAACAAGCAATCCATATGAATTCAATGGTCGACTGTTTATTGATTAACAAACGAAAATGGAACCGAAACCCATATGGACGAAACTGTGGTCAATCAGACACTTGCTCGTTTGTTGGCTCACGCCGTTCGTCTGGTCGCCGTTGTTGGCTGTCGTTGGGCGGCAAAAAGAAGCCCGATGCGGCTACGTGGTGGCGGTGATGATCACCTACTGGTTTACCGAGGTCATTCCGATGGCCATCACGTCATTAATACCGGTGGTCCTGTTTCCCGTGTTGCAGATCATGTCGACCGACAAAGTGGCCAAGTCGTATTTCAACGTAATGATGTTGTGTGTGTGTGTGTGTCTGTTTCTGTGTTGAATTAATGGAATGTTTGATCGTTATTAGGGCACAATAATGGTCTTTTTGGGCAGTTTGATTGCTGCGACGGCCGTTTCCAAGTCGAATCTGCACGAGAGAATTGCGCTCAAAGTGATCATGTTGACTGGAACATCGCCCAGGAGGTTAATGCTGGGATTCATCGTGACCACGGCATTCTTGTCCATGTGGATAAGCAATCTGGCCACGGTGGCCATGATGTTGCCGATCGCAAACGCTGCACTCGACCAACTTGAACGCCGTCAATCGGTCTCGGTGGCGACCAACGATACAGGTATGTGGTTTTACAGTTATTTTCATCATCATATACAGTATATAAAGGTAAATGATTCATTTGATGATGGCCACAACAACAGTATTCGTCACGATCGGTGCTGGTGACCATGTTCGATCCAATTCGATCACAAAAACAAGCACGTAGGTATCTCTTGTCTATATTCACTAAGGTTACCATTGATTGGTTGTTGTCCAGTGTTGCAGAATCACGAAAGAACGAATCGAAACCGTTGCACAAAGGCATTCTGTTGGCCATCTGTTATTCGGCAAACATTGGTGGTACCGGAACCTTGACTGGCACATCAACCAATCTGGTTCTCAATGGATTCCTGAAAGAGTGGGTGAAATTTAATTGTGCCAATGTGATAATGATAATGATCCTCCACAGTGACCCGATCTCCTTTTCCGATTGGTTCTTTTTCAACTTCCCGACACTGGTTTTGTTGGTGCTGGCCACATGGTTATTTCTCACCTGCTTCTTTGTCCACAACAGCAGCAGCAGCAGTTCTAAATTGTAAGTTGTTCCATGAGTGAATGTTTTATTCATGTGGTTTATTATTATCGGCAATAGAGGGTCGAAAATGGAAGCCAAACGCAACGAGAAACAAGTGTTGGAAGCATTGCGTCAGCAATACGATCATCTGGGCTGCATCCGTTTCAACGAGATGGCCGTGTTGATTCTGTTTGGTCTGTTGCTTTCGCTGTGGTTTTTTCGTGCCCCCGACTTTATGCACGGCTGGTCGACAATGTTCAGCGACCGAAACAAGTAAATAATGATTGATTGATTGATTGATTGATGTGTGTCAATTTATTCATGTTTCATTCATTCATTCATTATAGTAGCTACATCAAGGATGCAGTGCCCACCATATTTGTCGTGTTGCTCTTCTTCGTGATACCTGCCGACCCGAGAAATTTGGCCCAGTCCCCAATGTTGCTTGATTGGAAAACGACACGCGAACAGGTATCGTGGTCAGTCATGCTGTTGCTGGGTGGCGGTTTCGCCATGGCCAAAGGATGCGAGCAATCTGGTTTGTCGGCCGTATTGGGCGACAGTTTGTACATGTTGCATCAACTATCTCCGTTTGCAATCACATTGATCATGTGTTCGGTGAGTATGACGCTCACTGAGCTAGTGTCAAATACTGCCGCAATCAACATCATGCTTCCTGTCATCCATCAAATGGTGAGCGACGATTGTTGTTGTAATTGTTTTGGATGAATCTAATGTGATTTAGCTTAGTCACATTCAATGAAAACGGACCTGAATCCATTGTCGGTGATGTTACCGGTAACGGTTAGTTGTTCGTACGCGTTCATGTTGCCGTTTGCTTCTGGAACGAACGCCATCATATTCGAGGCAGGCAAAATGAAGACCAAGGACATGGTGAGTTTGTTTGCCGTTTGTTTGTTTGTTTGATTGATTGATTTGATGTCATTGCTGTTGTGATTGGGTTCAGTTGATACCAGGATTCTTTCTGAAGATAATCTGCGTGTTGATACTGCTGGCCATCAATAGCGTCTGGGCACCGGTCATTTTCCAGCTGGGTGATGGTGGTGGTGGTGACAACCCGATCATGTTCAGCAGCAGCAGCAGCACCAGACAGCAGCAGTGTGAAATTGAGCAAAGGATCTTTTGAAAATGATTGAAAAACGAATTAAATTAATTAAAAATTTGATTAAAATTTATTTCATTTCATTCCATGAATGTGAATCACAATAAATAAAACGTCATCAAACAATCATCAATGTAATAAATCATTCAGATCGAATGGCCAAGTACAACACTGCAGCATAATAATGATAATTTTTAAGGAAGACAGTAGTTAGTGGTGGTGGTGAGATAGAGAGACGATTAAACGGAATAAAATAGAATAGAATGGTGTGCGGGGACGGGGCGGGAATCCACAATAAGACAAGGAATGTGTTGAATACTGGGGCCTATGACATGGGCTGCCCTGGTTGCTGGTGTTGTTGGATGCGAGAGGAAGGCGCCGGTGTTGATGACGGGCTTATCTCGTCGTTGGTCGGGCTGTCGTCGTCGTCGTGCTGGGAGCCCATGGAATTGTCGTCGCCTGTACCACCACTCATGGAACCACGTTTGTTTGAAATGTAATTACGCGAGCTGGCAGTCGACCGCCTTACAGGTGAAAATAAATGATGGTCATTATATCAAATATATATCATTGCGATTGAATAGCAATGGCTTACCTGAGTTTGTTTTTGAGAAGTTCAATCTCTTTCGACAACGATTCGTTGGCCTCGACCGTGTCCTCTAGTTCTCGTTGTGCTTTGCGACGGCTGGTCTTTTCACGCGAACATTCCTCCTCCAATTCGTCCAGTTGATTCTTGAGCGATTTGGTGCGCGCGTTGCTCTTTTCCAATTTGAGGTTGGTCTGTTCGGCCAGTCGCTTTTCATCTTCCATCTGCGCTTGAATGTCCTTGATACGTTTTTCCATCTTGCGAATCATCTTGTTGGCAGCTTGTTTCTCCTTGGTTTCGTTGTCCAGCTGTTCTTCGAGCTGGATGATTTTGCTTTCCATCTGGCTAATCAGCTGTTTGTTCTTGGTGCGTTGGGTGGATTCCAGCTCCTGGAGCTTGTTTCGTAGCTCTTTGCTGAGTCGTTCGGCGGCTGTACGAGCCGTTTCGTTCTTTTGGCTGAGCGAACGTTCGTTGTTCAGTTCGATGGCCATCTGATCGAGTTGCGTTTGCATCTTTTTGATGCGGTCGACGAGCACTTCGGCATTGCTTTGTTCTTCTTCGAGCCGATCTTGCAGCTGGTTGATTTGTGCTTCGAATCGTTTGCGTTCATCCTGGATCTGGCTTCGAAGCGGCGTCAGGTTGTTGATTTCATCGAGATACTCGTCACGTTCACTTTCGAAAGCACGACGTAATCGTTCCGAAACGGCCAAATCTTCTTGTGCCTGAATCAGTTCGGCTTCGGACATTTTGAGCCGTTTCTCGTATTCTTTGTTTTGTGTGCTTAGCTCGTCGGCCACCGCTTTGTATTCTTCGCTCTCGCGTTGATTATCTTTGGACTGAGCCTGCAAACGTTTGTACTGTTTGATGGCGTCCTCTTTCATCTTGTTGCCAATCTCCAGTTGTTGTTCGAGGTCATGCAATTCGTTTTCGAGCTTTTTACGAGCCATAGTGGCCGTCGACTTTTGTTTGCGTTCTTCTTCGAGCTCGGCTTCGAGGTCGCGTATCTTTTTGTTGAGACCACGGCGTTTTTCTTCCGCCTGTTCCTCTTTGTCTTTAAGCTCACGTTCAAATTGCGATTTCATTGCCTGGGCGTTCACCTCACCACGAAGCTTTGCGTCTTCAAGAACCATCAGTTCGTCTTCAAGCTCTTCAATGTGGGCTTTCTGTTCGGCAACCACATTCTCGAGACTGCGTTTGGCTTTTTCTAGCTCGTGAAAATTCTTGTACGCCGACGATTGGTTGTTGATCAACTCGTCCAGTTCGGTTTGAAGCAGTTTTTTGGCTCGTTCATTTTCCACATACAGATTGTCGCGGTCTTCGAGTTGCCGTTGCAACGACAAGATCTTGGTCTCCTTTTCGCGGGACTCGCGTTCAGCCTGGTCACGTTCGTTGGCGATTTTGGCCGACAACTCTTTCTCTTCCTGGATCATGGCATCGAATTTTTTCTGTTTCTTTTCCAATTCACACACTTTGGACCGTTGGTTCTCCAGTTCAATATTCAGATCGTCCACTTCGGATTGTAGCTTCTTCTTGGATCGTTCCAATTTGTCGATGGTGGCCACTGCTTCTTTGAGCTGATGGCCAACAATTTCAAACTCTTTGACGGCTTTTTTGCGATTCTCCTCGGACAGAACGAGCAACTCGGCGTCCTCTTCATTCTTTTTCTTGGCGTCGGCAAACGTGGCCGTAAGCTGTGTCAATTTGGCTTCCAGCGATTTTTTGGCCTTTTCCTCTTCCTCGAGCTGTTCGATGACGGCGTCTCGTTCGCCTTCGACTTGGCGCAGTTTTGAATTCAACGACAATTTCTGTTTCGTTTCCTCCTGCAGCAGTTCCTGAAGCTCGGCCAATTGCACGTTCAACGTGTTGCTGTTTTTGATGGCTTGGCTGGCACGACGGTCGGCTTCCTCGAGCTGGGACAGCGCCACTTCCAGTTCCTGTTGCAATTTGGTAAACTTTTCGGCCAGTTCGCCTTTCTGCGATTCAATCTCGTTGAGACGTGTGGTCAGTTCGGAAACCTGCGATTCGACCTGTTTGCGTCGTCGTTCGCTTTCCTGTTTGGCCTGATTGATGTTGGCAATTTCCTGAGTCATCTCGGCGTTTTCGGCTTCGAGGTTGGTTTTTGTCTTTTCGAGCGTCGTTTTTGTTTTACGCAGATTGTCGATGCTTTCGTTCAGTTCTTCGATCGTTTTGATGTACTTTTGGCGAAGATCCTGAATCTGGCTTTCGTGCTGTTGCGATTCTTCTTCCAGACTTCGTCTGAGCCGTTCAAGTTCGTGTTCACGCTTCTGCGTCAGATCCTGTTGAGCGGCCGTCACGTCCAACGAATCCATCAGCTCGTTTTTAAGTGCTTCGAGCTCCTCATTCAGGTCACGTTTCTGTTTTTCCGCCTTTGCTCGTGCCTGTCGTTCTGTTTCGAGATCTTCTTGGATTTCGGCCAACGTCGACTCCAGTTCTCGAAGTTGTTTTTGTATTTGGCTACGAGATGCTGATTCTTGGTCACACCGAGACAATGCCTGACTGAGGTCGGCCTCTTTTTTGCCAATCTGTGTCTGCACATCTTCGAGTTGGCTGTTTTTCTCGCTCAACTGTTCCTTTGTGTCGCCGAGTTCGGCTTCCAGACGGCGTCGGACACGTTCCAATTCGTATTTATGCTTTAATTAGTTTAACAGAATAGATAGATAAATTGGTTAATAATAATAAAAAATAAAGATAAAATAAAGATTTTAACCACATGGCAACACGCCAGACGACACACTCACCTCTTGTTCTTTTTTGAGCTTGTCCTCTAGTTCGGTGATTGAGCTTTCGTATTTCAGCTTGAGCTTGGCAAGATGTTTTGATTTTTCTTCTTCTTCGCCCACCGTTTTCATCAATTCTGCGAGTCGATCATCGAGCAGTTTCTTTTCTTTGGCCAGTTTACCGTGCGAATCCTCCGATATGGCCGCTTCTTCTTGCAGTTTTTTCACCTTTGTTTCTAGGGCCAGTTTTTCAATCTGCAGTTTTTGTCGCGACGATTCTTCCTCTTCCAGTTGTTCTTCCAGGTCCTGGATGAGCGATTGCAGTTTCTTTTTGTCGTTGCTCAGCGCCTGGAACTGTTCTTCTTCCTCGTCGATTCTGGTTTCCAGTTCGATGATGATTTCTTCCAGTTCCTGTTTTCTGACCGTCAATCGTACTCGAGCTTCTTCGGCTTCGTTGCACAGTTCGGTTTCTGCTTGCAAAGCGGCAGACAAATCGTTCTTTTCGGTGACCAATTGTTGATACTTTTTGTCCAATTCGACCAGTTCCTGTTGTGATTTGTTCAATTTGTCTTTCACCTGGCGAATCTCGTCTTCCTTTTCGAGCAACTTGTCCTCGTGTTTGGTCACTTCGAGCAGCGGTTTCACTTTGGTGTAGAGACGCCACCATGCCCAGTTACGAAGTTTAAGATATGCAGCACAATTACGTTGGATGACGCGAATCGCATTCAACTGTTGTAGTCGTTTGTGGTAGTTACGACGAGCGATAAGGCCACGACACCAGGCCTGGAAATTGACGACCAAGTCGGATATTTTCATGTCACGTTCTTCTTCGAGTTGAGCGAGCACACCGGCACGGAAGAATATCTTGGACTGGCCGATTCGATAGAGATTTGGATCCAAGTCCAAAGCGACAATCATTTTTTCGCAGGCAAGCTTGCCGTCCATGAAGCCTTTTGGAATGGCGTTCGGCGTGAGCAGTTCGTATCTGTTGTGTTCAGTGTGAGTTTGATTTGATTAATTTAATTTGATTTCATTATTGTGCATCACATCATCACACTGACCGTTGTTTGAATTCCTGGAACTGGATCCGGTTCGGAAAGCCTTGTCGACAGATTCGGATGCCTTCCAGCACGCCGTTGCAACGAAGTTGATCGAGCACAAGTGGAGCATCGATTTTGCCTGCCTTTTTCTCGTGGTTCGGAATGATGCATCGGACAAAGTTGGGGTTTGTGTTACGCAACGTGGTCATCAGTTTGGCCAGTTGGTCTTTGTACAACTGGGACACTGTTCTGAACATGCCTTTACGAGTACGTGCTCCAAATTGAGTGTCGCCGCTCAAGGTGGCCACGCCAATGCCAACGATTTCGGCTACGTTAATCAATGAATCGATGAATTGAAAAAGTAGTTTTATCAATCATTACACAAGAGAAGCAAAAACATTTACCGTCTTTCCAGATTTGGATGACAAACGGATCGGATGATTGTTGCAGCAATTGGACGACGTTTTCGTTCAACGGGTCCATGTTTTTCATGAGCCATTGTGATGCTAGATAGTCGACCTGTGAGAAATGTTGACAGTCAGACAATCGAAATCATATAGATATAGATAGATATAGAGAGACACACATACCTTTCCGGCGTAATGTTTGATGCTGAAATCAGCGTTGGCGCGAAAATCCGTCTGAACAAACTTGGGATGGCTGTTGTGTGAGGTAATGAGTTTGTCGACAAACGTTTTGTCGGTGGCTTTCGGGAACCAACATTCCTCGTCCAACAATGCCAGTATGCCCATGGGCTATAAATGAATTTGGTTAGTGAGCAAAATGAAATGAATGATTTGTTTACCTTTTCGATCAAATCGATGGTGGGTTGGAGGTCGAGGCCAAAGTCGATAAATTTCCACTCGATGCCTTCCCGTTGGTATTCTTCTTGTTCGAGCACAAACATGGTGTGGTTGAAAAGCTGTTGCAGTTTTTCGTTCGTGTAGTTGATGCACAATTGTTCGAAAGAGTTGAGCTCGAAAATTTCAAAGCCGGCAATGTCGAGAATGCCGATAAACGAGGCACCTTGTCGTTTCGTGCGGTCCAGAGAGCGATTGATTCGGTGGACAAGCCACTTGAACATTCGTTCGTAGCAAGCTTTGGCTATAGCTTCGACCGACGATTCTACCTGTTCTTTAGTCTGAGCTTTGGTCACGTAATCGCGGCCCACTTTGAGCCGTGGTCGCAAGAATGCCTTGATCATTTCGGAAACGTTGAGGCCAAGCAGATGGCTGACCTTTTGGGCGACCGTGTTGTCCGGAAGAGTGGCCTGGTCAGAGTTGCGTTCTTGTTTGAACTTCATGTTGCCAAACAGCATGACAGCCGAAACGACGCGAAAAATGGCACTTAGTTCTTCGGCATTGAGGCCCATGATCTGCATGGCCTGTACGGTGTTTTTGAATTCGATTGCTTCGTCGACACCGGGCACCGGTACAGCTCCATGCGTTAGGAATGCATAGTTTTTGACGTCTTCAAGCAGGAATTCCTCTGTCGATCATCATCAGAATGATTAGTTTGAAATGGTTGCGAAAAACAAACTACTTACGTCTTTGTTCTGGTAACGTTCCATTAAGCAATTGGTAAAAGATGTGAAAACTGCGTTCGTCCACCGCTTGGCGGATGGTTCGTGACTTTTCCAGCAAATCTGTGTGAGTGAGTGTGTTGGTTATGAATTGAATGATGATTTATTTTTGAATTCATTGTATACGTACAGGTTTCAATGTTGGCACCGGCTATGAATCCTGATGCATCAAAGTTGATGCGAATGAATTTACCCTATATATAATAATAATATAAAATAGAGTGAGTGAATGAGAATGAATCAAGTGTGGATTGTTGTTCGACAACACTTACGAATCGAGATGAATTGTCGTTTTTGACTGTTTTGGCATTGCCGAACGCTTCTAGAATCGGGTTGGCTTGCAGTAGTTGTTGTTCCAGTTCGCCAGTATGCAGTGATAAAGATCCACTACGCGGTTTTGACGAGGCCACATAGGCCAGATATTGAATCACCTTTTTTGTGTTTTCCGTTTTTCCAGCGCCACTTTCACCGGTGCACAGAATAGATTGGTCCTCGCGATCTGTGAACAAAAATTTTTAGACAAAACCATGATGGAATAGAAATGGGAAATACCTTGTAACATGCTACGATATGCACCATCGGTGACGGCAAATATGTGCGGTGGAACTTCATGGCGTTTTTTGCCTTTGTAGTGTTCAATGATTTTATCCGTGTAGATTGGCAGCTTCTTGTACGGATTGACCACCACGCAGAATAAGCCCGAATATGTCTGTGTGATTGCGAAAATGACAAATGACAAAACAAAAACACACCAGTTATAATATTCAGTAAAAATCAAAACCAGCGCCCATCAATGAGAGATTGCAACCGTTGTTGTTGTTGTTGTTGTTGTTGTTGTTGATATATTCAACGTTGGCAACAATTCAACAACAACGATAACGAAAAAACGAAAAAACGACAAAACAATGCATGCATGTATGTATGCAAGATATTCGAGCTATGCAGTGAATGACAATTAGACTTACGTAAATGAGACTGGAATAGTAACGGTCTTTGAGGTTGTGCAAAACTGATGCTTCGTTCAGACAGGTCAATTCGGCCATGTCCTCCACCTTGTTGAAACGCGGTGGATTCATCTTTTGGACGTCATCCTTGTTGACGACGCATTTCTTGTTTGACTCGACCATTTCGACCTCGTATTCGTCGCCTCGTTCCAGTTTGATGCTTGCGGCGACAAAACCAAGCGTTTCGTGCGGCACCCACACTAATCGTTTGGCCGCCCATTCTGCAGTCTTGGTTGGATCGGAAACGACCGTGCGATCGACTGCCAGGTACTTGAAATCGGATTCCATGGGAGGTTGGTTATTGTTGTTGTTGTTGTTGTACGTTTCAGTACGAGCTGGTGACATGGTGCTGTTGACCACAGTAGTAAGTATCGAAAGTGAATCGAATGACAGCAGATTGTCAATTCGATTCGAGTTTGATTCAAATTGATTTGACTTGACTTGATTTGATTTTATTTGGTTTGGTGTGATGGGATGAAATACTGAAAGAGAGCAATCGATGGATTATAAAGGATGTGATTTGGGATTGTCTAGTAGCGGATTGGGTGAAATATGGAAATTGGTGTTTGATGATGATGATGATGATGATGACAAGCACGCAAAGATGGATCAATTATTGATCATGGAGAGAGAGAATGGCAACGTTTGTAATTACGCGATAACAACACAGAAATGAAATGAAATAAATATATAAAAATATACAACGACTGAATGTGATGAATGTGATTGTTGGATTGTTGTTGCAGAAACAACAACAGAAACAGAAAAAGCTGTAGCAGAAGTAAAGGAGGGCTGGGTGCAACGTTATCGGCTTTTGGTATGCCAAAAAGCGTGCACACTTGGTATGATGTGTTGGTTTTCTGTTGTACTAGCTGCATGAAAACAAGTCGTGGCGATTGCATTCGGACAACTGTGGCTGCTCACAAGTGGATCCTTTGTTTGAATCCAGTCAGTGTCATACACACAAAATGTAGCAGTTTTTTTGGTCCATTCATAAATGTTGTTGAACTATGTTGATCTATTCATCATCACCATCATTTAATCATTTAATTTAATTTAATTCGATTTAATTCAATTATTCAATTATTCAATTAGTCATTGGTTAGTTTACACTCCAATGTCACCGAGTTGTATGTGAGTGTTGGTTGTGTGTGTGTGTATGTGTGTCTGTGTGCGAAATAGCAGTGTTGTTGGGACTACAGATAGTGTGTGACATTGGTATAAGAATATTCCGTGTGTTGAAATATGATACAAGAATTGCCAATGTACGTTATACAGACAACGAGATGAGCGAATTGTAGTTTTCCAGGTTGCGTTTCAGGATGTCGACACATGGGCCAAGTAGTCGCTCGAAGCAATCGCGGTCCAGTTTCAAACATTTCAACGGGCCCTGTGCTTTGACCGTTGCCGCACGAGGTCGGTTAAAGATGAGAGCAATTTCGCCAAAGTAATCTGATCGGCCCAGTCTTCCCACTTCCTCCTCTGGAGCGTCAGGCGATCGCCGTTGCAACACGACGGCCGTTCCCTCTTCAATGATGTAGAATTCATCACCGGTTTCGCCTTGTTTGGTGATAATGTCGCCGTCGGCAAATTCCACCGGTGTCAAAGCGTCGGCCACGGTCAACCTTTCGTAGTAGTCGAGGCTCTCTGTGTGTGTGTGAGTGATTGTTGTTGATTGAAACATATACACATACAGATATAATGATGAACTTACCCAGAATTTTGACCTTGGAAAGGAATTCTTCATACATTTTGCGTTTTTTGATAAATTGACCCATCAGAATGCGTCTGTACGTGTCGCGATCAATGGCCCACAGTTTCACGTCGGTTTTGGCCTGGATTGTGGCAGCACGGGGTGTTCCATAGATAAGGGCTAGTTCGCCAAAACTGCCGCCTTCCGATACGGTGGTCACCAACTGATCGTTGACGTACACCTGGTATTAAATAGATTGTGAATTGAATTGAAAGAGCTGTTATGCAAAAATGATTACCTCGACGGTGCCTTCGTCAATGATGTAAAAGTTGTCGCCTTCATCACCTTGTCGCATGATGTATTCGCCCGCTTTATGATGCACCGGGAACATTGCATTGAACACATCGGTTCGCTGGTTGCCGTCCAAGTGCTGGAAGAGCACGTTTTTTTCCACCGTCTTTGACAAGGAAGCCATTGTTTTATCGTCTTTTGGCACGACCTATCCATTATTGAGACATTTGCTGATTAATGAGACAATTGCTGAGAGAATTGGCTCACCTTTTTCACATAATTGGTCGCATCCTCTTCGCTGTAGGTTTCGGCGGAAACGCCGCCACGACGAGTTCGCGTAGTTATCGTTGGCAACGGAGATAGATCCTCATCTCGTTCAGTGTCGGGCGACATTGGCGCTCTTTGATGTTGCAAGTTGATTTGATTTTCCTGTATATTCGATGATGAATGAATGAATGAATGAATGATTAGAGGAAAATTAATTAGGGCCAAAATAGAATGGAAAATCAAAATGAGCAATTAGCGTTGAACGAGAGCCAACTTGATTGCTACCATACCATACGCGTGTTTTTCTAATGCAATACAATTGGATTGTTGTTGTTGATGGTCAATGGTTGGCCATAAAACTACAATATGTGTGTCATATCACATCATATCATTATCATGTGCAACTTGATATGGGTCATAAACAAGTCCTAATTGTATGTGTGTATAACAAATACCAACTGACAATATCAATAAAACTCACTCGTTCGAGGGAGGCAAAATACTCCTTCAAGAATGTGATCGGATTCTCGGGCCGACTAACGCAAAGCTGGACGATGCAATCCTTGAGTATTTGCTGGATGTTGTGTCGCTGCACGTAGGCTTCGCATTCACGCAACGATTGTTGTTCGTCAGCCTCACCGCCGTTGTTGTTGCTCGTGGCCATCGCGTCTCAAAGTGTCCAACACACTTACACACACACACACTCGCACAGACACACCCACCAATGGAATTTAGTTTCACAAAAATTCTTCTGGAAACATGCACCAAGATTCACCGAGATTCACGTTCAAGTCGAGTGTCGATTGTGATTAACAGTGTAGTGATTAAAAGTGGCCAACACATTTAAAGTTCCATGACCAGCACACACACACACACGCACACAGATAAACCAGAATTTGATGAAAAGATGGAGTGATACAGTGGTAAAAAGATGTATGTGGATATATGGGGATTGATGAATGGATACAGATAAACAAACAAACAAACAAACTGGGAGACAGCGATCAAAAGTCAAACAGAGGTCTTTTGTCGTCAATGCTTGTATTGTGGTGAGCACTGCATATAAACACATCACATCACAACACAACACAACACTGTATCAAACTCATTGGTGATGTTGTGTGTGTGTGTGTGTGTGGCGTACCACTACGAACCACTACTATTTAAGAGATTTACGTCATCACACACAGTGTGCTACGTCGTTATATTGGATATATTGAAATGCCATCACACACACATTCCTGTAGGAGACTGACATATATCCAGGCGATCCATTCGTCATGGTCACCAATGTGTCGTAGATTGTGGCCTTGGCTTGTGCTTTGTGTTTGAAATTTGAAATGAAATCAAAATGATTAAATCATTCTATCCGGCAATTGATGAGCCATTGATCAATGATGGCGAACAAGATACAAGACACAAGTGTGTGGAATATAAACAAATGATGAATAGCTTCAAGCAACATTGCTTTTTCCAACAACAACTCATCAAGGTAAATTCAAATTTGCCACCACTAACAAAAAAGTGAAGCGTTCAAACGACAACTACCTGTTGCAGCTATTTTGAATCAATTTTCTTTTCTATATAGTTTAATGAATGAACAAAGAATGGATAAAATTTTATTCAATCAACATGGATATATTAGTTTTGAAGACTAATGTGCATTCTGCCGCAAAGCAAGTCGCCACCATGTCCGTTTTCCAATCGCACTGTGGCCGTTACGTTAGCCTGTGTGAAGTGTAATAATAAAAAATAATGAATAAATCATTTATTTATCGCCATAATTGACTGTCTGGATAAACTCACTGTTGGTACATCGTCGCCGAGATTAAAGTCAAGGTGGTAATTGTAGGTCTGGCCTTTGGTCAGTGGACAGGAAAGACCGTGGCCTTGGCAAGCGTCGGTTCCGTCGATGCCTGGCCAACCAAGTTCAATGCCGCCCAGGTTGCAGATGAACCGGGTGTTGATCTTGTTGCCGGTGTTTTCGTTGGCCACAAAGCTGATTCGCAGTTGGTTTTTGCTATGTTTGTGGATAACACACGATTTCTGGTTCGGGTTGCCGCCGGTCACAAAGAAGGATTTGATTTCATTATGACCACAGTCTTTGTACTGGACGTTGGTTTCGTCGGCCTGCACTGCCGCCGCCAAGCAGAACAATGCCATGCAAACAATGAGGAATCGGTTCATGGTTGTATGCGTTTTGTGTTTGTTGTGTATAACCAAAGTGATTATGGAGCAGCCAACATTGCATGACACGTCGTTTATATATTGAGAATCCATCAAGTGGTCTGTTTACTGGTGCTTAGCTTAAATTGGTTATTGATGATTGATGATTGCCACTTGAGTGCAATTGGTAACCGCTCAAGGTCAGCCATCTCAACAACTTGGATCAAATTCCTGGTACATCCAGAAATCGGATCAAATGATAATGATGATGATTGGTTTTGAAATCAAAATTAACCAACAACAACACACTTGAAATTGCATTATTAAATTGTGTAGGGATATATCATCATAACAGCCTAACCCCCATTGTCGTTGAAATTCATGAGTTTTTTTATTTTTCGAATCCAATATGGAGGTTATCATCATGATTGTTTCATGGTTCAATTTGGATAGGATGCTTTGTTGATCAGAAAAGCATGACTGTGTGAAATGAATGAACATTTAAATAAAAATGAAAGTTTGGTTTGTTTTCTTACTTGGTTTTGTGAGAAAAAAAAAGATGATACAAATACAAATATCTTGTTGAATCAAGATGATTCAACATGATTCAACATGCCAAAAATTGAGCAAATGGATGTAAACAAAACAATTTTCTGAAACTTTATGAAAGATCGATAGATGGCATTAGTGGCAAGAATGGTGCGTATTTTATGAATGAACCTCTTCTGAGTTGTTTCTCGATGATGAGAAAAGGATGTGCTCACATTGAATGTGAGTAAATTATGACTCTTTCGTGTGTGATGGTTTGATCCACAGTGAAAAGCACGTGTTTTTCTGTCTATTTGCCGAATTCATTTTGATATATAATATATATTGTGTGTGATATTATTTCCTGTGATAATGAAATTTTTTAATTTTTGTTTTGTTCATCTCATAACATATCATCATCTTATCATTGTCTGAACAACGAGATTAAAGAAACAAAAGAAACATAAAAGTGCTAAGTCATTTACAATACAAATACAAACAATGTATAAGATTCTCCACAATTGTTAAATTAAAAATTGAGCCAAAGGTATGAATCCTTGAGGTCAATAGAGCTGGATACCCGCAGGTGTGGCGGCTCTATTGCTTGGTATCCAGCCAAAAGTATCGAATAGTTAGGTTTGTACTGAAAATAAGTACGATGGCCGGCTCAGCTTCGCCGCATTAAATGCCAAGTTAATACACAGTGCAAGTACACAGTGCAAGCACTTGGCGAGTGTAAAACTCGCAGTTACCGACAAATCGTTAAGCGACATAGAATAGTAGATTACTAATGTTAAGAAAACCACGTTGTAATTTCTAAAATTCTAAAATTTAATATTATCGTTCAGCAAGTGAAATCAACTCGTAAATAAACCTTTTGTTACTTTTGACATTGTGAATTTGTGAATTTATGAATTTATGTTTTCGTTTATTCGTCTTTCGTTTTTCAATTTGTAATATCAATTGTATCGCGACACAATATGTCCATGTTATTATCTTAATTTTACATTTTCAATATTACTTACTTATTTATTAATACGGAAGTGTCCGTATTATATTTTATATACTTATTTATCAATATTATTACGACATTATTAAATTATGATATTATTAAAAAAAATACAATTAAAAATCACTGTGATGAACATATGATGATGATGATTAACAGTGCACAATAATTAATAAAATAAAAACAACAACAACAACAATGATAAAAAAATTCCTATAAGATTCGAATACAACAACAACAGCAACAATATATAATAATAATGATGATAAAAAAGTAAAATAAAACCCCTAACACGACTAATATCAATAATTACACAAACATTGGCTGATGTAATGTGTGATGATGATGTTAGTAACTTTTTTTAAAACTCTTCTATAATCATTTGAACGTAAAAATTTTAAATCCGGTCAAAAATTTAAACTCTCAAATTCAATGGCATTCGCTTTAAGCAATCAACAAAGAGCGGAAGTGGCTGCCAGATATAAAGTCTGGAACTCTGTGATAAAAGTTCAACGTTGGTGGCGACAAAAATACAATCGTAACCAGACAATTAGCCCAATTACAATCAAAAATTGCCATAAAAAATTGATGACAACTGGCTCAATTTTGGAGCAATGTAAAGTTGAAGTATCAGAAATGAAGCGATCTATTTTTATTCGTTGAAGATTTGACCATTCAGAAATCGAATCATTCCATTCATGAGAAGAATCACTATCGATGGGAGCATCCCATTCATTAGAAACAATACGAGAAAACAACAAACAGTAAATTGTTACTGTTGATCTATCATTGTTTATAATTGATTAATTGCTTGTTTGTTTGTAATCATGTAAATTGTATATATTGTAGCAGTCAACTGGCTGCGCACGCTCCTGCCTATTGCCACCTCTTCCTATTTCGACCGAGAATGTCGGTGAGAGAAACGAGCATGTTTCCAACCGAAAATTCCGAGTCCTCATACAATTGAACACAGACACTCGAACACATACAGTGATTTCGTTTTCAATAAAATCAAAATTCGATTCATTAACTTGTCGACATTGCGACAATATTTTATTTTTTTATTATTATTTTCTTACCCCTATTATTAAAGGTATAGGGGTTTTATTAAAATTAAAAAAAACAAAACAAACAGTAGATTGGTGTTCGATAATTAGATTTGATTTCTACTGCTACTTAAACAATTGGCGTTTACGCCTTTCTCAGTTTAGTTTTGAATTGCTTTAATCTCGCCCGTTTATTATTACTGCATTAAAATACAACTAAACGTAATTGGAGCTTCAGGGGATCAATCAATCCTAAAGGATCGAAAATACGGCCAATTATCGATAATAGAATACGCTTAGCTAAGACAGGCCCAATAGTCCAGAACTATCAGGAGACGCTTCATCATAAATCGACGCATTAGAATAGATTTTGTGGATCTCGAAACCAGAAGAATTAAATGTTCGTTCAGCATCAACAATACATTGACGCAAGTCACCAATATCGTTGGAACCAATGAGCAGGTCATCCATATAAGTGACACCAGTGAGCATTTTTCGAGAAGAATTATTACCAATAGACTGAACCATTTTATCCACAACTTGAGGAAGAATTGCTGGCGAAGAGATGACACCAAAAGGAAGAACTGTCATCTCGTATTTCTTGATCTGATTATCCTTTTCTTTCCACAACAAACGAAGATATTTACGATGTTCGGGATGAATCGAAATTTGTAGAAAAGCCTTTCTCAGATCAGCGGTGCAAAGATATTTGTATAATCTTATTCTAATTAAATGAGGAAGAACATCCAAACCAATAACGGAACCTTTCCAGTGCACACTATTGAGCGAAGCTTCTCGGCCATAAGAAGCGTTAAATACGATACGAACAGGAGTGGTTGTAGATTCGGAACGGAAAACAGTGGCCGTACATCATTGTCATCATCGGAAAGCAACGTTAAAATAGTTCGGGATTTTTTCAATCAACATCCAACCAAGTAAGTCCGTGAAGCAGCCAGAGAAACCAGGTTATCCCGTCACATCATTCATAAAGTGTTGAAAAATACACTGAATTATCGGCCATGGAAGCCACATTTTGTTCAGCAATTGTTTCCGGAAGATTGTGATCGCCGAATGGAATTTTCTGAAATTATGCTAGGTTAGATTGCATTGAATTGGTTGAATTGAGTTAAATTTGATTATTATGCTAGGTTGGAAGGAAGAAAATCAAAATCTATTCGACAACATTCTTTGGTCAGATGAATCCATATTTCCATTTGAACCATTTGCACCATTTACTCGTCCATTCGAAGCTGTCAGTAATGATTTCTTTAGTCCCTTACGATACAGAAATCGGGAAAAAGTTTTATGGTTTATTGGTCACTTGTCTTGTTTCGCGTATGATCAAAATCGAAGTAGTCAATTCTTTAAACGCGAATGCAGCATTGGTCGCTTTGAACAACGTCTTTTTCCAATCAGTTGGAAAAAGAAACGCCGGCACAAAAGAAGGCAAAAGTTTTTGTATTTTTTGATTTGTTGATAATACTACCTTGAATTAAACAACAGTTTTTTCATTCTGTAGCGTTATCTATGAACGCTCGTCACGTTGTGTCCTTGAGTCAGCCATTTCCTGGCTCAGAACATATTTAAGGCTGGGTTTTTCTAATCATACTAAGCCTGTGATTTTTGTCATATCTCGTGTATGTTTTTATTCGTGTGAATTATATTAACTTTTGATTTTTGGTGGCCATTGCCGCCTTTCAATAAAGATAATTAAAAAAAATATTAATATTGTGTAGCAGTCAACTGGCTGCGCATGCTCCTGCCTATTTCCACCCTCTCCCATTTAGACCGAATGTTCCGAGTCGACACACACACACACACACACCGACAATCAATTGAACGAGCACGTGAACATCATCACCGAGTTTAATATCAATAAATTCGATTTCTTACAATTGTCTTCACGACAATTGAAAATAAACTTTGTTTTTGTGTGTTTTAAACCATTGCTATCTTTAACTCGTGTCCTTCATCCTCTAGGCTACAACACATGGTGGTAGGGGGAAAAAATTCTTCAAAAAATAATTTTATTGTTTCAATGTTTCAATATTCTAATCATCGATTTTTATGGAAACAAGAAGTATGACTTCTACGGGCACTAATACTGTTTCAACGTCCAATCAACATAGTACGTGTTAAAAATATTGTTAAATAACGATATCTATGAATTATTATATTGGCATTGTATGATTTTGCCTTGCTTAAAATACACGTGTTTCAAACTTTGATTTGGTGTTAAAATTTATAATTAATTTTCATGATTTATTAATTAACAGAAATTTTATTTATTCACTTCTAACAATGTCGAAACATAACAATAATAATCGGAAATGTTAACAACAAATAAATAAACAATGAAAAACTCAGAGATCGTCCATGATCTCCTCCAGGTCAACAGGGAACTCCCTATTGGCCCTGAAATCAATCAGGACACTCTGACATGTCCTTCGCAAAACCTCAGTTTGGATGTAGGCCTGCAGCCTTATGATTTATTAATAAAAACCATTTTTTCTAAACGTAATTTTGTTATCGTTCATCCTCTGCAGCATAATTCGGATAAGAATCGTCATATATGAATGATTCCACAACGAAATTCAAAAGTCGCGCGCAAGCTTCTCACACGATTGGCTCGTTGAATCCTTTCGTACAAAGATACACATAAGCACTCGCTCAATGGTTTTTTCAAAAAGACACAAAGACATTCGAGACACATGGTGACACATTCGATGTTCACGCCGTTCGAGTCACATACACACAAGACACAATTGATTTTTTCATAATTTCTTTTGTTTATTAAAATTCATTTTCTTTTTCAACATAGAGTTCATTCCAATCAAAATTTACTGTGCATCCTCAACAGTACGTGGAACGACTGAATAGATACGATGAGTCGGAGTCTATTGAAACGTTTATGGAAGAATTCGAAAGAGTGCAAGAGAATTCAAGGGCGTACCTGTATAACAGAAGAAAAATTGGAATATCACCGAATTGCCCAGAATGCGATTCTCAACAAAATTACAACCATATCATCACATGTCCCATGTTCGAAGATATTATGAACAATTTCGAAATTAATAGTAATGATCACTTGATTTCCGCAATTGAAAAATTAATAAATAAAAATAAATTATCCGATTTCTCTTACCTCATCCACCAACGTTTAAGGGAAATGAATGTTGTAAAAAATTTATTCACAACAGATTAAAATGAAGAACGAATTAAAGATAACTTTTATTTTTTATTTTTTATTAATGTTTTTTTTTAGAACATTTGATCATCACAGTAAATTGAATATTAATGAAAAAGTCACACAAAAAGAAGAAAAAAAACAGAAAAAACAACACTCACGTGCTTTTTTACAATTTTCATTTTGTTCAAAAGTGCAGTTACATTTTTGTAACATGAATAAATGCTTAAAATTTATCGTTTAAAGCTCTTTTCTCAGTCTTTCATCTTTTATTTACATGTTTATCAATATTGTAAGATTTTTTTTTTTGTTTTTTTTTTCTTGTATTTATATTTTCATTATTTTTTTAATAATTTTAAATAAAATCAGGAGTCATGCTCCTTTAAAATTTAAAAAAAACCACACATTACACAACACCACCACTACTACTAATGTCACACACACAAAGGACACGACATGTATATAAATCATGACACGAAACACAGGACACACTTGTTGTTTAACCTTTTATTAGTTGACTAATAAAGTTCACCTTCTCAACCGTTGTGCCAACGTTTCTGTACCTTTTTTTTGATACATTGTATCGTTTTTTATGTATCTTTTTCATTCGTTACAGTATCAATTGTTTTGTAACATTTTTTGATACATTTTTATTTGGATACTTTTACTTGATACAGTGTTTTATTAATTTGAGAAATGGGTGCCAGGGAATTGTTATGATTTCGTAAAATCATAACAATACCGAAAATGGAAATCGAAATGATCGATTAAACATCCGATCATCAAAGGATGTGGTGAACACATCAAAATCGAATTTTAATTGTAGAAATTATATGAATATTTTTAAAATATAATTTTATTTTTTATTAAATCAAAATTGAATTATAATCACATCATAAAAAACAATCATCAGAATCACCAAACATAAACACCAATCACCACACACATATATAAAACTCGAAACCACGCCACCTCGGTCGCCATTCATATAAGACGTTACTTGGCATTAATAAATGTAAAACATCCTGTCATGACTGTAACAAATGACACAAATTACCAAAATGGTAATGTGGCATTTGAACATCCGATGTAAAACAAAACAAATTGTAATTCTGAAATTACTATATAAACGAATCTAAAAAGAATAATAAATTACAATTATTGTTGGTGAATTTGAGTGAGAACGTTTAATCTATGATATTTATTTGTTATATGGGTACAGTATCTGTTGAAAATATTTGTAGCCATTTTTTAATTTTTGGTATTTTGATACTTTGTATCAATTTAAATTGTAGCTAAAAAGTATCAGTTGTAATGTATCTTTATATTTGCTACAGTATCTTTTTTTTGCTACAGTATCTTTTTTTTTGCTACATTTGAGGTTTATTTAAACCTCACTACTATCGTATCAATCGTTTTTTGCTATTGTCTTCCAAATTTTTTTGCTACATTTGAGGTTTATTTAAACCTCACCAATTGTCTTCCCAAATCTAAGGTTTATTTAAACCTCACTATAATGTCCATAGTTTTGCGGTATATTTATCAGTTATTACCGGAATCGATTGTTTTGTGAATATTCATTGGTTTTTTGATATTAATGCAAAGAACTGCTCGGATATTTACACAATGATTATCGGTGGCCAAATTCCCGGGAGGACAATCGAGCAAAACCTCACGAGCGAAGCTCGTGACGGTTTTGCGATGTCCTGGAGGAGTGCCTTTCGAGCAAAACCTCAGGAGCGAAGCTCGTGATGGTTTTGCGATGGTCCCGGAGGTTAGGTTAGGTTTTTTTTTTTTTTTAGGTTTTTAGTTAGGTTGGTTAGGTTGGTTAGGTTTTTTTTTTTTAAAATATCTTTATTCGCCGGACATGGCCAGCATGATCCTTGCTCGTTGTTTCTGTTGATGGTGACCAAGTGCGAATGCGGCAAATGGTGGTAGATGGATCAGCAGCGGACAATGATGGTGGATGACGACGCTGATGATCGAAGCCAGGAATGATTGGACCAAGAGGCCAAAACAATGATGATGGGGCCAGACCAATGATATGGATAGCCAGATGATGAGAGCGATCCAACAGGAGGATCGTGTAGCCAATGATGATAGGGAAGGGAAATGGTGGGATGAATGGATGATGATATGGTGATTGAAGATGAGATTGTTTCAATACCATGTAAACAAACTTTTAGCATAAACAAACACGAAAATTTTCAGACTTCTGCTCAAAGAAAATTTCGACTAGCAAGTTGTCAACACAAAAAGTTTTGTTTATATATGCAGCCAAGACAAAAAATCTTTGTGTCTTATCATTAATCAGTGTTGACATTGATAGAGGCACAGAATGAACACATATTGCTGGTGATGATGTTGAGAAATCAATGATGATGGTAATGTCAAAGTTGATGTTGATGGTAACAAACAAAATTAATTCAAGTTGAGCAGCGTGTTCGATTGAATGTACACACATAGTTAGAGCACATTTTCCGTTGTATATGTGTGAGCATCTAAAACTATGTTGACTTAATTGGCTGACTTGTGTGGTAATGGATGTGCATGTTCAATACAGTGGTGTTTACATTAATGCTGCTAGTGAATTGTGATGAGCAGATTTGTGTATTTTGTTTGTGTTAATTCATAGATGACATATACAATGTTTACATTTTTGTTTACTATGGTAAAAACAAGGACAATGGATTTGGTGAAATGTTTCAAAATCTTGGTATGTATCATTAATTCATCATGTATAATAATCACAATAACATTTTTAATTTATGGTGTATCATCACAGCATAAGATCAGAACTCTCGGTTCGTAAATCGACAACAATGATTGGTCGTAGATAATTAATGGATCACAGGCTGGTCAATACTGTTTGGCTATTGGTTTCATTGTTCATTAAATAAATGCACATTGGCACAGCGTACATGGAATCGATTGCTGAAACTGTTGACTAGTTGTTTTCATTATGGTTGAAACAAATAAATCGATATGTCAATGAAATATTGGTGAAGAAATCCATCGATTGGCTAGTTGATTATCATTTTGTTGGTTCAAATTATGCTCACTGGCACACACTCAATCACTTAAATTATGTTGTGTTTATGATGACGATGATGAATTGATGAATAAATAAATAAATTAATGAATAAATAATAAAAGAAAGAATTTCATAAAAAGAAGATCACGAATATAAAATTGATGGTGGCGGTGGTGGAATAAATTAAGAATAAATAGAAGAATTCATTGATCACAGGTTTAAAATTAATGTTGTGTTGGTTCGATGATGATGATGAATTGAAAATAAATAAATAAAAACTTGGTTCATAAAATCTGATTCATAAAACAGGATTAGTGATGATGATGGTCCTGATGAATCGAGTTGTGTAATTGGCCATTATTGCTATCATATAAAATTTTACTTCCATATAAAATTACTACCGAATAATGATAACCATTTTAGGCCATTGATTGCTATTTGTTCATATAAAATTACGTCCATTTTAGTTCGATCAATAATATTAACACATGATGATATGGCCAATGAATAATGATAACGTAGGCGGCCAGTAAGTGGACAATCAAATCGTAGGTGATGAACAGATTGGATATCGTGGCCATTTTGGACATTGACAGGTTTGATCATCAGAGAATCCGAATCGATATAAAACTGACCAAATTGGCCATGACCGGTTAAACTTTGTGACAGCCAAAATGAAACGTAGGGGGCAAAACGTCTGGCATCATTCAGATGTGGGCATAGCGTTTTAATTGTGGTGCCAGCTGGATCATTATCATAGACGGTTGACCAATTATTGTACATGTTGATTTTTTCTTGCCGCTTTACAAATGATAATGGTGCACTATGATATGAGACGTTACGACGATGATTGTTTGCCGTTACTGTTGCTTTTTTTCTTAGCTTTCGTTGGATAGGATCATTTCTGTCCACTTTTTTCCAGCAGATGATAATGTTATCATTTGTCGATCTAATAATTGATTCAGCAAGCTCAGACTTCTTTTTGTTGTTCTTTTTTACAACGTGCTGAAGTGCCCCAATGTTATTGCATATGATAGTGGTGGCCGAATAGTCCAAGTGGTTGTCAGTGATCCAACGAATTGCGAGATGAATAGTGAATAGATCCGCCTGTAGGATGGAACAATGATTTGGTAGCCGATGGGTGACCGTCGCAATTAGTTGATCACCGAAGAACGCCATAAATACACAACCGATGCCCAAGGTTCGTTGGATTGATTTTATAAATATTTGCCTGTTAGTAGTGGGAAATGGTTGACGGTTGATGATGTTCGGTGGCGGTAATAATTCATTTATATTGGCACAGTATTTATCCAAAACAATTTCATTGTCATTATGCCGATATTTTCCAGTGATGCGTGCAATCGTAACATTGGCAACATATTCAATGACAAGATCCAATGGTGGTGAATTGCTGATGGCGGTGATGGCGATGAATGAGGCCGTGGAATATGATTTCGTGATTAATTGCACCATTGGTTTTAATGTTCGCCGTAGTTCCAATTTCATATATTGATATTGGATTGCCCGTTTCCATACATGACAGCCGTAGGTGATCGTTGGTAAAAAGACACAATTTAATAATAGGTGGGCCGTTTTTGGTCCGAGGCCATATGTCTTTTGTGCAATCGTCATTATTTTCTTGAATACACGGGCGGCTTTTTCTAATGTTTTATGTACGTGTGGTCGGTAATCAAGTTTACGATCGAATGTAACGCCCAATATTTTAATGTCCTCAACCGGGGTAACAGCCATATTATTCATGGAAACTGGCGGATGGGTGGGTGATCGAATTCGCCTGGACATGTACATTAGCTTAGTTTTTGTTTCCGAAAACGTGAGCTTGACATTTTGACCCCAACAATAGGCCATCTGCATGATGTCATTAACAATCACATTGAAATATGCACGAGAATTGCAGGAGACAATCAGGGGTTAGGTTAGGTTAGGTTTTTTTTTTTTTTTTAAACTAATATTTATTTTTATTCCTTTAAAAACAGACCGGCAATGGCCAGCCCAGAAAATCAATCAAATACATGGTTCGAAGATACAATGGATTCAATAATGTGGAAAAAGAAAAAGAAAACAAACATAAAATAAAATAAAAAAAGAAAAGAACTAATAAATAATAATAAAAAGAATTTGAATAAAATAATTTTTCAAACAAATTTCATTTGTGTCCTGTGTATGTGTACGAGAGAGATTATGTGTTTGTGTCGGGAAGAATCGATAATCCCAAGTCTTGCAGCGTTGTAGGCTCAAGTTGGTGTCTAAAAATTCAGGGATGGCCGCAACAGGTCGGTGAAGCCACAATCGGACAGCAGCCGATAAGATAGAAGCCGGTAAACAAGCAAGCCAAATGTATGATTGTTGGAATCACAGCAGATCAATGATACAAGCTGGATGAATGTTGATTGAATCCGAAGCCGGTTAAGTTTCGGAGGATAAGATGATGATGATGGCCAAAAATTTGAAGCAATGATTGTTTTGACGTGTGTATTGGTAAATGTGTAAATGAGAAATGTTGGTGTGTACTGGTGATCGTTGAGGAAAAAAAAAAGTGTTCAATGATCACAAACAGAAAAATATCAATGTCGACAAATTTTTCTCAGATAATTTCAGCAACATTACCCCGTAGGTCTACTGAACTCAGATTTTTCATGCGATTTTGGCTGTTTATATATTGGAAAGAAATTTTTCATTTTTGTGATCTATCTCTGTTGTTTTGTGTGGGTGGCATACAGATTAGTTGTTGGATTTATCTTATTCACTGTTTTCATGTTCAATGTAGATTTTACGCCAATTTTTCAAAAATTTTCTACTATTTCGTGTACCAGCCAACGCCCTTATCAGATGTTCGATTTGGCGCCAGGATTTCATATTTATGACTATAGTTGTATTGAGCATGTGTAAATGATTCACTTACATTCAGATGACTGTTGTTGGTTGATGTTGTTAAAATTGCCATAATTTGCTCATTCTTTTGTTGACAGTGGTTGATGATGATAATCGATTTTTACCACCAAGGTATGTAATTCCAGGATTATTATTTTACTTCAATGTTCTTAATTGATTTTATCTATATTATTTTAGTGACGAATCATTGTTGGTTGTTGTTGTTGCAATGGTAAGGCTGTGATATTTTACATCTGTGATATTAATATTGTTCATTATTGTTGTTTTTAGGAATTATTTTCAAATTATTTTCTTCAATTATTGTTGCTGGATCAATTGTTTCTTTTCCATCATTGGTGATTTTTTATCTGTGATACTAGGTACTATATTCAAATTATTAGTGATTACCAAATTAATAGCATTATTAAATTTAGGATTAACCAATTATAGGATTTTCAAATTGTAGGATTATCAAATCATAGGATTACCAAATTGTAGAATTACCAAATTGACGTTTTTCAACTATCGACTAATTCATATCAACTTTTTTGATTATTGTTGGCCTTTACAAGCTGCTGGACGATGAGTCGTGGAAACTTGGATTCTCTGCCAAACAAGCTGCCATGATACATGATCATTTCTTTTCAGATTCTTAGAATATGAATATTCCATTAATTCGATGTAAAATATAATCGGTGTCACCATTGTACTATATTTTCCTTTAGGTTGTTAATACAAATGATGGTCGAATTACCACTTGTTGAATGTGGCTAATAGCCAGCATTGGATGGACTTAATACACTTGCCATGTATGATCAGCCAACAATATTTTGTACGCTTAATGCGTGTATTGAATCTACAACTTCCGTACAACTGCTTCACAACAGTGGCTGTTTATGGATGCCATCCTGGGACTGTTGGAGCACCTGGCCACCTGTAACCCTGTTGTGTTCTGTGTGTGTGTGTATGCCTAGAAGTCTGCTACATTTGTTGTATCGAATTTCAACGTGTACATATCGGTAAATGGTAAAAATCGTGTGTAAAAACATTGTTACAATAATATGTTGTGTTGATGGCCAGGTTGTTGCGGTGGTTGTAGCCGACGTACGCCTAATTACTCCTGAACCGCCAGCGGCTGTTTATGGGTGCCACCCTGATGCTGGACGGAAGTGGTACTATGGATAAATGTGTACTGTGTGTATGTAAGATTGTCTGTTACAGCTGTTGTTTCCTGTGTCTGTGTGTTTACAATAAAAACATGGTCTGTAAGGAAGCTGTTTTATGTTAAAAGAAATGTACCATACATGTTGATCATGATAAGTTGCGTAGGAGGTTAGGCGTACGTCGGTGAATTGTGCTGGATTAAATACGTTGGTTGTGGCATTATAGTAAGTGTGGATGATGGATCGAATGGCGATGCATGTCCGCGAAGATGGCTATATTTGCGTAGAAGATGGCCGTTAATTCGATAATTGATATTGGATCTGTTGTAGCTCGTACAGCTGTTTGGTAATCATTACGTAACCTGTTGGTCATATGGCAATCGTACAATAAGTGCTTAACATCTTGCACTGGGAAACCACAGGCACATTCAATTTCATTAGATATTCCAAATCGTACAAGATAGTTGCCAAATTGCCCGTGTCCGGTCAATGTTTGTGTCAAGAATTTACTTATTACATGTGAAAACTTCCGGGCATTACCAACATGTTGGCACAATATTTTTATATTGCTTCCAAAGCGATCACTTCTGTATGCATCATCCCACTTTATTAACATTCGTTTCTTCTCGTATTTTTTGACATTATTCATGTGAATGAGATCGTAATCATAAGTTCTTCTTCGATTTTTACCGGTATTTTTTGCCCGTTTCTTAAGCCTATGGTGCCACGTATCTTCATAATTGACTCTTTGCCATGCTATTGTGATATTGCCATTTGCAATTTTCAATATGTGATTAGCCAGCCTTTGCCTTTTTCTTGGATCATTACGGTTGATGTGCTGGACTGTGCCGATATTATTTGTCAGTATAAATGTTTGCTGGCTACAATTTGTATTTGTCCACTCTATTGCTTTCATGATTATAAACAGGTCAGCCTGTTGCAGCGAACAATATTTAGGCAACCTGTAGCTTCTGATCAATATTGGATTGTTTTGTCGAAAGATGATAAATGCAGTACCGATACCAAGGTTGGTAATTATTGATTTGGTATGAATTCTT